GATGGGGAGGAAGGGAAGGAAAGAGGAATGAGTGATGATGATTCCGGAATCTGCGTCCGCCCTATTTTATATCGCTTTGCATCACAGCCCATTCAGGAGACGGTGAGCTGCTCATCCACACCTCGGTCCATGCCACCATGTGCTCAGCAGCGACTGAGTCCGAGCCCGAGCATCGTCAGGATCGTAGGTTTGGCCGAGGATCAGCGCGCAAGAATCAATTTTCGCACGTCGCAAACGAGGCTCCGGCCGCCAATCGGGCCCATCGAAGCGACGGTGATCTCTGCTCGAACTTCAATTGAGCTTGCTTGTGCAGCACACGCTGTCGAAGCTTACCACGGCTTGTATCTCTGCACAGCGCACCCTTGATGTCATATTGAGGTTCCTGTTTCCTTGTTCTCGCCCGGGGAGTGCCTTCAGCTCGCACCACACAGAACGGATTCAGTTGCGATGCGACCGCCCAGATGCCATGTTTCCAGGGTGGGTAAACCCGGTTGTAACCTTTACGCTAGAATCCCTTCCTTTTCGAAGCGACTCCATCGCATGCCGTAAGATATACTCATGCATTTCAGGATTGCGAGCCTGGCTCGCAGTGTGTCTGTGTCTGCAGCGGGATTTTATGGATCCTCGATGCTGGAGGAGGTCCAGCAAAGGAGGTAGCCTGTGGGTACTCGGAGATCGTTTTCAATTGTGCCCGACCCGTTTTCTCGCCGGCGACCAGTGAGGTACGAGACGCAGCGGTCTCACAATCCGGGCTCCGAAGAAGGCCCGGAGCATTCAGGGTCGAGACAGCTCGCCTGCGCTGGGAGTAGCGATCCGGAACCGAGGCCAGGTGGGAGCTCGCTAGGTCGATCCTGATTTTTTCCAGACTGCCGAGGCTCAGCGCAGATCGTATGAGCAAGCAGAAGTGCCAGGGCCCAGCCACCATTCGGCACGAAAGGAGCGGGGAGCTTCCGGCATCTCTTCGCTCGTTGGATGCCTCGCTGTCAGTTCCTCTGCTTTGAAATGGCGTGACGCCGGGGTCTCATGCATATGTGTATGGGACTTTGTCGTCGATGTAGACAAGAGCCACAGGAGCAACGTAACATTGCGTGTGCGAAGCCATGGGACGAGGGCGGAGAGAGCATGAAGCCCGTGAGCGCTGGCGTCATGGGGCGAGAACGATACTCATCGGGCGTGCCAAAACCCCGCTTTCCTGTCTGCGTTCTGGCATCTCATCCGAGCAATCCCTCTGCGGCTATCCGCGTCTTAGATTCCGGCAGCTGCAGTTGCAAAACAGGAGAAATTCATGCTCCCGATATTCGTCATGGTATTCAGACATCAAGCGAGGGCCGCCAGTCATGCCTGGGGAAGATGGCAGCATGTGGCTATGCTGTGCTGCTTGTCCCTGCTTCCTGCTCATCTCTCGACTGCTCTCGAGAGACAGAATCCTCTCCTCACCGCCGTCGCCGACCCAACAACGAGCGGACTCCACCCAGACGACAAAGACGACGATCAGACCCACTTTGCGGCAGGTGAACGGAGGCATGTGCTTCGAGCAGCACTCACGGGTCTTCCGCGATCTTCCCTGTCTTCCGTCGCAGGACAGCATCTTTGACTTGTTGGGACCGTGGTTGACAGGCCTGCCATTAGATGCGTCTCCCTCCCTCGGTTACCCTCCTTCTCCGATGGCGTTGAGGTCCTTATTCACGAAAGATACGAGGCTTTGATCTTCAAACGCGTGCGATGATGATGAAGGCGCTAGAATTGAGTTGAAAGCAGGAATAGTTCCTTCGAACGAGCGTGTCGCGATTTCTCTCATGCAAAATCATTTCCACATGTAGGCTTGAGCATTGGTGACGCGATGTGATCCGCCCTTTCCCGGGAGTTGCATAGTCCTTCTATATCACCCCACGTCCCCATCGACGAATTCGCACTGTTCGTCACCCCATTGATCAGAGCTCTCCCCGTCCTCGTCGCCATCACACTCGCCGGCGTCGCACGCGCGCGCCGGCGCCTCGCTATCGCATCTCCGGGATGCGCACTCGAGCGAATCTTCCCCAGGACTCTGATCGCCGCGAGCAAGTCAACACACCACAGCACGTTGCGCAACGGCCAGTCGGTGCGATGCAGCGGAGTGTTTGGACGCCGTGACGTCGGGCTGGTCGAGAGATAGTTGCTCGAGGTGTTGGACTGGGATCTGGGTGCACGGGAGCAAGGGATTACCGTGCAATGGCGTGCGGTCATGGGGCTGCAAGACCTGATGATGACATCGGTTGATGCTATGAGGATGGCGATCTGGCCGGCCTCGGAAGTCGTATCGCGTGACTTTCGTGCCAACGTTCAAAGCAAGATATGGAGAGCTCATGTCGTGGTTGCGGTACGAGAGCTTCAGTCAAATTCTGGGACCGAGTTTGTCTAGCGGGAAGTACGAGTTCTACATGATCTAAGATCTATTTTCTCTCTCTACGGTGGCTCCCGTAAGTTAAAATTGGTAGGTCGTGCACCAGTTTTCCGGTGGCACTTGATATGACAGTCCATGCGTCTAGACGTCGGACTTCTCGTCGTACGTGGCCTCGGGATAGTCCAAGTATCCGATCGACGGCTCAAAATCGCCCCCGTAAGCATGCGGCCAGTCCACCTCATTATCGAGTGGCTTTCCCGCCTGAACCCTCCGTGCCAAATCCGAGTGCGACATCCAGGGGATGCCAATCGACACAGCCGGGAACCTCCCACTCCCCACCCACTCGATCGCCTCCGCCGGCGTGATCCCGCCATTGGGGATCATCGGCGTGTTCTTCAGGAATGGCGCGTAGGTCTCGAGTATGTCGTGCGGGGTCCCACGCTTGGCGGGGTCGAGGAAGTCGAGATAGCGCACGATGCAGACGTACGCCAGTCCGAGCTTGTCGACCTCGGTCAGCAGGTAGCCGAACGTCGCAATCGTGTCGTCCAGCGCAAAGCCCATATCATTGTAGCCGCCGCCTGATTAGCTCTGGTTAGCGCGTACGGACAGACGGATGCGCGTTGAAAAGGGGACACGGACCAGGGTTGATCTTGAGCCCCACATTTGGGCCCCACACTTCACACACCGCTTTCATGATCTCAAGGGCGAACCGGGCCCGATTCTCCGGGCTGCCACCCCACTTGTCCTTGCGCAGGTTGGCGGTCGGGTCGAGGAACTGGTGGATCAAGTATCCCATGGCCCCGTGGACTGTGATGCGATTCAGAGATCAGTTGCGAACGAAGTAACCGTGACGCAGATGAAGCCCACCTTCGAGCCCGTCGAATCCGGCTTCCTTAGCATTGACCGCCGCAATTCTGAACAACTCTACGATCTTCATGGGGTCGGGGATCTCCGTCGGCTGTGCAACAGGATGAGCACACACACAGGTCTTTCGGTCACGGCTAGAAGACACTGACGGTCTGGTAGCCCGGTATTCCGGGCAGGAATCGGAATTTTCCACCGGCAGCGCGAACGGCGGATGGGGCCCAAACAGGCTGGAATCCAGGTCAGGTTCGGCGAATGCATCATTCAACACGAGCACGCACCTCTCCTGAAGCGATCTGATGGGGCGCGTCCGGGTGGCATGCGCGCCCACCTATTTTCATGAGTTCGGGCTGCCGACGTGGGAATTCCCATCGAGTGCTCACCGTGCATGATCTGGCAATAAATCCGCCCGCCAGCCGCATGCACCCCGTCGACGACGTTCTTCCATCCCACGGTCTGCTCTTTGCTCCAGATCCCAGGCGAATTGGCCCACTCCGTCCTGGTGCGTCATCCCGGTCAGCTGCATGAAATCCCCTCCGACGACAATCTGGTACGCACCCTTGCCTGCTGACGAGACTCGCCTCGGTCACGATAAGGCCCGCGCCGCCCCGCACGCGCTGCACGTAGTAGTCCCGCATGATATCGTTCGGGACAGTGTCCGTCGTGCGATTGCGCGCCATGGGTGCCATGACTTGTGGTCGCTGTCAGTAATCGCTGGCCCGATCGTAAAACAACCGAAGCTCACAGACTCGGTTGGACATGGTGACGGTGCCCAGAGTCACCGGGGAGAAAAGCTTAGCGATCGAGGCAGCAGTAGTATCGGAGGACATCTTCAAAGTAGATGAGATTGCAAGGGATGGCTGCCTTGGTTTATAAGCGCCGTCCTTTTCATCGGGGATCTTTGTGGCCCAGGAACGGGCCTGGCCAGTGAGGGTCGGTGCACAGAAAGCTGACTGAGACGGTGAGCAGCATGGTCGCGTCTTGATGTGTAATGCTCGCTCGCCGTAGAGCCAGAGTCCAGCAATCTCGAGAGCTCCTGCCAAAATTACTCTACTTGGCAAGATGACAGACGGATCATGATGCGAGTTCATCCGTCGTATCATCCATCAGGACTAATGCCTGCACCACGGACAGTCACATCTGACGTAAGCAAACCTGAGAGATCACTAGCCTCGTCGGTGATCATGACAAACCTACATCCGGACAGTGCACTACTACAGCCCATGGCTACGATACACACTCATGGAATGCACGTCATCCTGATGGGAAGCGTTCTGGAGCTTACAAAAAACTCTGCTTCAGCGTCAGCATAGGCGACATGGCGTCCTTTTCCAGTGTTGTAGATAAGTGATTAAGGGCTTAACTAAAATGGCCTTAATAAGCACTTAAGTTAAGATAAGATGAACCCTTAATATCCGACCGCGTTCAAGATAAGTTCTTAATAACCCTTATTGATGGGAAGTCTGAGATGTCTGAAACTCAGCTGATCGGACAGCGAAGCCCGATCAGTGATTGTCATCTGAAATTTTCAGCGTTGATATGCCGCCTAAACTCGGGGACATATGGGGCCCGTTCCACCGGAGTGAAGAAAAGCCCAATGGAAGTCATCACATCGCCACTCATTGGCGCTGCATCAATGCCGAAAGACCGGCATCGGCACCAATAAACGTGGATCTAGATGATTGCAGTCTGATAGGATGCGAGGATTGGTTCCACTCTGGTGCGTTCATTAACGAGCACGCGGGCATCTGGGATCATGACTGCACGAAAACCAGCTCTCGAAGCCGCCCGAAGCAACAAAAAGCACTGTAATGGGGAGAAAGGTGCAATGGCTGGTCACTTGAGGAGATGTGCGCTGGCTACCGCGGAGGAGAAGTCTCTGGCATCCCGAGTTGCACCAACACAACGCGAGAAGAAAGAAGCAAAGGCAGAGGAGAAGCGAAAGAGAGATGAGGGGGATGACGGCACGGACGCAGATAACGAAGGTGCGGGAGTCTTGAAGATGGATCAGTCGAAGAAGAAGAAACGGAAACGAGTCCTTGCGGTGGAAACGTCCTTCTCCCAGTCCAAGCTTCAGGTGTTCAGAGGCAACGATATCCCGTTCAGTAAAGATCATCAAGATGCAATTGCACGTCAGACACTCCGCGCTACACAGTCCGCCAATCTTCCGGAGCGCTGGACCGAGGACATCGAAGTGATGAAGTTGTTCATCATGATGCGTTCCCGTGCCATGGATGCCATACCGTCGAGGTCACAGCTCGGAGGAAGCCTGTTGAGAGATGCGGCAAAAGAGATTGATGCACAGACAAAGGCACAAGTTAGCGGCAAAGAGGTTTTGATGTGGTGCGCGAGAACTGCTGCATTATGCACTGTATTCACTGATCAGTCCCATACAGTACCGATGGCTGGAGGAGTAATCGAAAGGACGCTGTAGGTGGTGTCACTCTAAACGTCCAGTTCAAGGTACGCCAAGGTCACGGCACCAGTGACGACAGCTCACGGAGCCTATTTCAGTCACATCTTGTGGATGTGATGCGCACTAATCAGTGGGGAAAAGACGGAGAATCCATGAAGCTTCACTTCACGGCAATGATTGAGAAAGCGGAGAAAGACTTGGGCTGTATTGTCATCGGTTTCCTCACTGACAATGACGGAGGGAGTAAAAAAGGACGATTACTGCTAGCAATCGCCAAACCCTATCTGTTCACGTTTCCATGCTGTGCCCATCAAGGACAGCTCATACTCGGAGACTACTTGAAGGAAAACGAAGCTGCTGCTATACTCCTGGGCGAACTCATTGATGTTGTGAATTGGATCAATTCGCATGACAAGGTCCGTGAGTTTTTCTGATTGTACACACACAAGTGACATATTTTAAAGGTCCGAGACATCTTTGACAAGGAACAAGAAAAAGCGAACGGGAAAGTTCTCGCATACATCCTGCCAAACTTGACGCGATGGACGACTCACTTGATTGCCGCTGTGCGATTCGAGTTCTTGAAGGCTCCAATCCGGGCTGCTATTCTGTCTCGTTGTGATGATATTGTCGCGGCACAGGTTGGCGCAGAGACAAACACACGAAAACGCTTGGCTTTGGAAGAGGACGCGATCAGTCATTGCGAGATGATCGAGTCCAATGGATGGTGGGACCGTCTGAAGAGAAGTGTCATACCCGACATGGAGCATATCTGCTACCTCACGAATATCTCACAGAGTGATCATGTACGACCGGATCAGTTTCTCCTTGCTCTTGCAGGTCTCCTACTCCACTTTCGCACATTTGCGTCTCGAGATCAAGCCACCGATCGAACCCTTGGGAAGAATATGTGCGCCCGAATCGAGAAGCGATTCAAAGAGCTGGATCAGCCTGTCTTTGTTTTTGCGTTAATCCTCAACCCTTTTGAGCGGCTGGAACGCTTCGGAGATGACGCAAAAGTTGATGTGTTCAAACTGTCGACAGAACTTGTTGCGGTACGTACATCTTGGTACAATTTGTGCGTCGATTGACACTCTTTCTGCTCAGCTATACCGGCGTTACAAATCCCGACCTCCTCTCCATCCACGCAATGAAGAGCAACAATTGCTGTTCGCTGCTGGGCTAAACTCAGAGGCACAGCGTCTCAATACCGCGTTCATGCAATATCTAAGCGGCACTGGACTGTTTGCAAGTTGGTTCGAAGACGAATCCCCGCACCAAAATTCCTACACGGATATAAATGTATGCTCACATTGCTTTAACCGTCGCTGATTCTAACTTGTCTGGTTTCCAGGGCGTCGATCCTCTCCCATTCTGGACCATGATGCGCTTGAACTCTGAGGCCAAGGAGCTTTCAGATTTTGCAACAACTCTATTGCGCCTTGTTGTGAATCAGGCCGGTCTCGAACGTTGGTTTTCCGACTTTGCGAACAAGAAGAATAAGAAACGCAATCGTCTTGGACTTACAAAGATGGCACAGCAAGCCAAGGTACTGATCTTTTCCGAATCAACGTGCAGTAAATCCTCTTTCTTATTTGTTCGCAGCTCACACGTCAAATCCGCACTGAACAAGTGGCCGAAGGACTAATAGATGTCCGTGGAGGCAGGAAGAACCACTCGAACGCTCGAGTTTTACTCTCAGTCCCGCGCTACGCTGACGCAATTCTAAGCGACACCGATGATAGCGATGTTGATGGTGGTCGATTATCCGTCGTTGTTCGGAGTAAAGCAGCTTGGAGAAAGCAACTTGGAGAATGGCAAGCGGAAATGCACGAGTTGGATCAAGTTTCTGACAGTCGAGATACGGACATTGACCAGCCGCTGCCTGGCATTCCGACACCAAATCGCCCTCGAGCTCAGCGCTCTTGGCTCCCTTCGACGCTTGCTTCGCTTTTTGGTGGTGTTGTTTCGAAGCCCATCGTGCTCGGACGTCGTACAAGGGTGGTTTCGGAGGAAGCATTGTATATGGAGCTTCTTGAGGCAGACAGAAGTGATGAAGAGCCTGACGCCGGTGCTCAGGAGGGTTCAGGTGACGACTTTATGCCGTAGAATAGCCAGATCTAAATTGGGAAATTGCCCTTAACTTGACGCTTAATAAGACTAATCTTAATAACCCTTAACTTAAGCTAAGGTCTTAATTTTGGGAGCGAGCCTTAATAATACCCTTATCTACAACACTGTCCTTTTCCGGCTCCTAATGATGACCGGTAATCTACCAAGACTGAACAACGTTTTTCCACGGCCCACGTCTGGCACCATTCAATCTCACATAAGGTCTGATCAAATATCTTACGATGTCCTGAATTTTTCTCTCCTCCAGCATTCCCCTAACGGCTCTGAGACATCACACTGCGAGTGAACTACATGTCACACGGGCTTCCTACACTTATATTCCTCAGCGCGAGCAGGAATTCTGCTGAGGAATTCATCCCTCGCTTTCCACTCGATACCCAAACCATGTCCGCTCTTTTTCTGGTGTTTGTGAACCTCAACAACGAGAAGACGATCCAGACACCGCCGCTTTGAAGCCACAGCTGCGACTGAGAGGGGATCTATTCGTGCTCTGTGGGCTTGTCAACCAGTACTCCCACTTCACATCACATTTTCTTTGCATCCTTGAAGTGTGTACGACGAGAACAGCGCGAGGGAGTCCAAGAATGCCTAGAGCTTGTAATCTTTGTAGTCAATGTGTTAGGCTCACTGGTGGTCGATAGCATAATCCCGCACGTGCACACAACCAGTGTTCGACCTAAGGGTTAAGCCTTAATGCATATTAAGGCCTTAGCTTGACTTAATATTAACTCTTAGCTTGAACGACAACAAGTCCTAAGTCTTAATTAAGGCATCGTAATGTAAATGACAAATATTCACGTGACCCATTTCACTCGATCGATTATCGCGCACCATCGTGGCCGGGCCATCGTCTTCAGCGCGCTCGATACTCCACAACCATGCCACCTCTCCGCGGCCCAATGTGGGAGCACTTCTACTTGGGGAGTGCACGCAATAGCTCTCACAGTGATGCCTGGTGTCGCTACTGCATCAATCACCACCGCCCAACCTCTCAGGCACAGCCGATCGATATCAGTGGAGGGAATGCGGAGCTCAGCACGAATGCACTACTACAGGCAGACTGGTTCAAAGAAGGTCAGTCGGCGGTCCCGGTTCATGCTTGAGTCAGGAGTTTAAGATGGTCGATAGCCTGCAAACATGTTAAATCAGTGAACGGCGAGAAGAAAGCCATGATGAATCACATTGTAGGCCCTAAGCCATGCATGCACACCCCGGATCACATCAAAGAAGCAGTGAGAAAGTTGAAGGAGGGTACTAAAGTGGCGGTTACAAGCTCAGCGGAAGCATCCTCAGCCGGGTCGAGAAAGAAAAAGACAGCGATCATCGCGGCCGTTGAGAACAACTTCACACAGACGAAGCTCCAAGTTTTCAAGGGCATTGATATGCCGTTCTCTGAGGAGCAAGCGGAGATGATTCGGCTCCAATCTATGCGTGCGACGATCTCGGCAAATCTGCCATTCCGGTGGCTAGCTGATCCGGAGGTTATCACGCTCTTCCTCATGATGCGTTCGGCGGCCGGGTCAGTCCTGCCTAGCCCGAAAGTTCTTGCCACTACTCTACTTGACATGGAAGCAAGTCGGGTGGATGCCGATGTAAGGGAGTTGCTGAAGGGGAAAGTTGTGAGCGTCTCGTGAGTGATCTTTAGTTGAAACTGCGCTGTTACTCAAACTTATTTTCACAGTGCGGACGGATGGAGCGATGGGAAATCAGTTCTTGGGGTGGATGTGTCGTACCGTGGCAAGGTATCTATCCATCCTTGCGTTCACTGCCTGTCAAAATTAACTTTTGAGCAGTCATACCTGGTGCGCGCTGTTCCGATGAAAGGACGTGGGAAGGACGGGGTCTCAATGGCAACGACGTTTGGTGAACTGATCGACTGGGTCGAATTGGAATACACGTGTACGGTTGCCGGCTTCTGCTGTGATAATGATGGTGGAAGCCAACTTGGAAGGAAGCTGTTGCGAAATATGCGGCCGCATCTGTTCAACCCTCCTTGTAGCGCTCATCAGGTAAGGATTGTACTTAATCATATTCATCTGATTCACGCCAGAAAACAGGGTCAACTAATCCTCGGTGACTACTTCAAGGAGAATCCCGATGCGGCAAAGACAGCGGAAGAGACTGTGGACCTACTCGGCTGGATCCGTAGTCATGAGAAGGTCCGGGATATCTTTGATGAAGTTCAAGTGGAGAAGAACGGAGGAGAGCCACTTGCGTACCTCGTTGCCAACCTGACCCGCTGGACCACCCATTCGATCTCATTCAACCGAATCCTGGCACTCAAGGATTCTATGCGCCACGCAGTTATCGTTCGGCGAGATGACATTCTAACGGCGCATCTGGGTGCGGAGAAGAACAAGAAGAAGGTCTCGGCAATCACAAAAACGGTCGATCGATTCTGTGACATGATCGATGATGCCTTGCACTGGAAACGCCTGCAGACAGTGGCGGAAGATATCGAGCCCATTTGCTACATCACCAACATCAACCAAGCGGACAACACTCGACCGGATCAGGTTCTCCTCGGTCTTGCTGGTGTTTTTCTCCACTTCAAGCGGCATCCAAACCCGACAGTCCGTGCGGGAATGCTACGGCGTATTGAGAAGCGCTGGGCAGCTCTGGATCAGACCATGTTCTTGTTTGCATTGATTTTGAATCCCTTCGAACAGATGGATCGCTTCGGTCAAGAGGCCGCTGCAAACGTTTTCACACTAGCTAACATCGCTGTCGAGGTTCTTTTCTATTATATTTGGTCTCTTATGTCGCACTGATAGTTTTCATTAGCTCTTCACCCGTGTCAAATTCCGCACGAAACCTGCGTCTGATGAGCCAGTCTCTGACAGGCCTGCTGGCACCGGCAGTGGGTCTGAGGAAGTAGAGTCTAGTCAGGACAAGTCCGACAAAGAGCGTCGTCAAAATGAATTGCGGGCATCCTTTCTGCATTACCTTTCCGGAACGGGTCCGTTTGCTGATTTCAAAGCCAACCGGGACGTATTCTCAAAAAGCACGGTGAGTCTGATTTGATTCATGCGCCGTCTTAGAACTCTCATGTACTTATATTGTTCAGGGAGCTGACCCTATGTTAGTATGGGGATACTATTGCGGCGTTCCGGAGACTGCAGAGTTGGCTGACTTGGCACTGACCATTCTCGGACTCTCTGTCAATCAAGGCGGGAATGAACGGGACTTTTCGGACTGGAAGATCAAACGCACACGACTTCGGAACAAGCTTAGTCTCGAGAAAACAGCCAAAATGTCAAAGGTATTTATTTCGTCTCGCTTATTACAACCGAGACAACTGATGAGTCCATGGGAATTCAGGTGACAGCGGATTTACGGACACGTCAAGAGGAAGACGGTCTCCGGGGGAAACGCAAAGCGAGACACAATCACGAGGATGATCGTGTCTCTGAGCTCATCTCTGTCCCTCGATACGCTGATGCACTAGAGATGGCCAACGATCAGCCGCCAACCACCAATGACAATCACGAACAGGAATCCCACAGAGTTGTTGTGAATTCGGCAAAGGACTGGCGCCGCGCTCATATCCAGTGGATGGTCGCAGCGCGAGACATTGATGGTGAAGACGATGGGGCTGAGATGGCGCGGATTACGAACTCGTTTGGTACCGCAACGGCGCGTTGGCTCCCGCGCAGCCTCGACAAGTTGTTTGGGGATACAGCAAAACGGCCTATCGCTGTCCAGCGGCGCCGCAAGCTCACTGATGAAGAACGACTGATGGAGTTACTAGCAGCTGAATTCTCGGATGAGGAGCCAGATGACGGTGCCCTCGAGGGCTCTGGAGATGAATACGAAGAGGTCTAGTAGTTCTTGTAACTTGGGTGCCGCACTGCGATCAAATCTTGTCCATTTTGGGAAATGCCTTAACTAAGGCCTTAACATACCCTTAATATTAAGCCTATCTTAAGCCTTAACAACTTAGGTTCAGCGAGAGGGCTTATTAACCCCCTTAGGTCGAACACTGCACACAACCGGGTCACTGCTCAAGAAGGGAAGCTCAAAACCCCAATGCTTTATTTATTCCATGATCTCAAACATTGTTTACAGAGCGGTACGTCGCTCCTTGGTCAATCCCTGGATCAATCCTGAGAATGCAGTGAGAACTCTCCGACCGTGATATGTATGTGAATTTCATCGGCATGAATTGTTTGAGGTGAACCTTGTCGAAGCTGCGCATCACAAGCACTAATGGGCCGTCACCACGAGAAACTTGAAATTCCATAATTGAATCGGTCATAAGCACACCATAGGATGAATTAGGACTGCATTTTCATGTGGCTCAAAATCCCCCAGTTGAGCAATCAAGCACACGCTGGTCATTCTAGCACGAAAATGAGCCCATTAATCGGCGAAAGCCCGTACGCAAGAAAATGTTTCGTGTGTTCTTGACTAGGGGATGGCAGTTGTTGTGCCCTCCATCAATTTCCTTCCTCTTTTGAGCAACGTTGAATCTGAGCTGGTGAGAGGGTACATACACGACCAGAACCAGACGATTCCTGGTGGGTAAGTTTCCTGCCTGTTATCTAGAAGAAATAGGATCGTTTTTCGTGCCTTCGATTCGCTCTCGGTCATCAGCTACCATATTCCAGAGCCGATAGCTAGTCACCTTTCAAACGGGTCGATAATGAGCACTTGGATAGGACCCAGATGTGAACGAAGTGCAAGCAGGATTGCGGACCGAGCGATCAACGTCATTTCAGATTTGACCATGAACCAACTGCCATCCTCTAAGTATCGGTCTTCCACGAGGTAGCCGGATCGCCAAGTGATCACAGGACAGCCTCGAATGAACGGTTCCCAGCGTGCATATGTGCCGATGGGACAGAGATATAGCGGATTACCTTGTTCGTTTTCCTGCCACATTTACCTCTCCATCAATCCGGTGGTCACCCGGATTGTTTTTAGTGAATCATCATCACGTTGAAGCTCCCGTTTGAGTAGTCGGAAGCCACGAGACGGGCATATGTGAATCTAGAGCACCTAGAAGCCGTGGGATTAGACGGTAAAACGGCAGAAGGGAGAATTACTGCACCCAGCTTCATACTGGGTCGGCTACGACGCAGCCTGTATTGCGGGGGAACCGGGTCACGTGCCCACGCTCTCGTAATATGGGCTGAGCGATTCTCGCTTGTTCGCTTTGATATGCTCCAGTGATCCATGAAGGTCCCACCGTATAAAACAGAGACTTGTGTGGGCTGTCAGGCATAGTCTCAGAACACCTTCAGCCTCTAACTAAATCCCCATCAGAAAACCTGCCTCAACCACAACGACAATGTCGACGACTGAAGCAACCATTCGCCCTGGTATCGTAGGCACCTTTTCAACGCCGGAGAGCTTGGATAAGCTCCGGGAGCTGCTCATTCGCGATGGCAAAGAGCATCACTGTTTCTCCAACGACCGCGGGCTGCATAACCACCTTTCCCACCAGTGCGTCGCACCGTTGCTTGACTCATACTCACTGACCGACCGATTCACCTCGCACGTCAGCCTTGTCTCGGCGTGCGACATGGGAGCGACAGCGAAGCAGCTCGAGGAAATATTCGAGAAGGAGGCACGGGGAGAGCGTCCCATTGGGAACATCGGGGTTCCGTTGGACGAGATGCGTTGGCAAGCGCGGCTTGGAGATCGGAAGTGTGTGATCTTCCCCGGTTCTTCCTAGATCCTGAACCTTTCCTAGCGCCTATGGTGCTTATCTCGTGTTCTTCTCAGACCAGATCGCGAAAAAGGGTGTGACCAAGACACTTGAGGAGTGGTTGATGTCTGCGCCAGCTAATTTCAACGGCACATCGATGTTTTCGCGGTTCTTCGGCGGCGCGATGCATCCTCTTCTCCATGTTGGGGTGAGCTTAGGAACATGTTCGTCAGGAAAGCGTCTGATTTCTCGTTCTTCGACAGTTTGGTGTGGAATTGGGCTTGGACTCACTGGTAGCTCAAGGTGTGTCCGCAGAAGCTCTCGTCGTTTTCCCGAGATCTCACTCACCCCCAGGTCTCGCTATGTGTGCCACAAGTGAGGGTGATTTCGTATCTGTTGTGGGAGACCACTGGTCGCCAGCGATGCCAAAGATCCCTGAAGTTCCCACTAAAGGCGTCACACTCTTTTCAATTCTCCGCCAAGTGTACGACTCGCCAGATTTGGTGCCTGCGCTGCCATGTCGCAAAAATGTTTAATTTATGATCAGTCCTGACGGACCGATAAGCGACTGATCTGAACTGACGACTTGTCGTCGGACCCTGACCGCATATCATCAGGCGGTGGTCAGGCTGGTAAGGTCTTGTCAGGTATTCTCAGACGGGAGTCAGTCTCTGGTAAGTGTGGGATCAGGTATTACAAGCTGTGATAAGGCTATTTTCTCGAGAAATGCTACAGATCAATGACATACATGCTGTACCGCATTCAGGGAGCGTAAAAATATGTCCGCATCAACCGTGTCGACCAGATAATGGATTTGGGTGCGTGCAGGGGTCTTCTCGCGACTCGGGGCCATCAACACACCACGAATCAAATACTCAAGTCGCACGAAAGACAAATCCTTCGCTTCATCGTAAACCAGACATCCATTCCACGTCGTCCGAGGCCGCCATTGATGAGGCTTCATGGTGTGGACAGCTGCAATGTCCACGGTGGATCCTGAGGGAAGTCTGCATCGAAACATAGCGCGTAATCGCGCGGGAAAGAGTCCTGGACTCTCTGAGTTGATGAGAACTGAGTCGTACCGTGGGCCTTGTTTGAACCAATTCGGGTGACATCGTAAGATGTCTTCACTGTCCGTCCAGTCCTCTTTGGACTGAAAGGATATATAGAGACAGTGGAAGAACTCGACCTGAGTTTGGCTATAAGTAACTCAAAATTCGATTGTGGAACAACGACTCGCCTTGAAAGACAATTCCGCACTCATGTACATCTCAGGAAACTCGTCGGCAAGGAACTGGCGAAGTTGGACGTCGAAGTTACGGAAAAGCTCGTCATTCTCCGTATTTTTTCGGCCTGTCAGAGCTCGACTGTCCCCGTAGTCCCATGGCGCACCGAAAATCCAGTGAGAATCAAGATTGGTCGGAGCGATCTTCGACTTGGGTGCTTTCCGTTGCGTTCCTGCCTTGCACAAGTCGTAGAGCTCGTCAGTGTCGTCAGGGAGAGGATTTTGTTGGCGTATAAAGTCATCGACAAGAAGCCGTGTGCGAGCCACAGCTTCCTGGTCTTCATCCCGCTTCGCAATCTAATATAAACTCAGTATTGTTCGGGAGTATGTAAGGCGGCCCAATGTACTTGTGCCTCGGCATTCCTCATGTTCGTCTGGTGAAAATGTTGGGCCACTTCTTGATGCATTCCTTCGCCGGTTCGTGTTGTAGCATTCCGAGGAACACCCTTGAGCTCGATGTCCTCGATTGCATGGACAACGAAGTGCTGCTTAGGGAAGTTGAAGTTTTTCTCGTATTCTTTAGATACTGCCTACAATCCGAGCATGAGTTTTCTTCGCGCTATGATTTGAGACAACAGACCTTGCATGCACGCTCATAACGCGCGATGAATCGGGCAATCAATGCTTTGCGGCTTTCCGTGATGACTTTCATTCCCATCACGATCCGGAATTGCAGCAGAGATCGAGCGAAGGCGACAAGGGATGAACCGGCAGGCAAAATCTCGGCGAGGATGAAAACGATGCACTGTAGACAGGTTTTGAGCTTGCTTTCCGCTGCGAAAACTCACACACCTTGAGGATATCAAGGTGAGTCTGCCCATCTGTGAAATCCTTCGTCGTAAGGTCGTTGATATGTTTCAGTCCACGCCATCTCGGGAAACGTGCCATGCTGATGAAAACAGTCTAGTGCTTTCCTTGTGTGGAAATCGAGCAACTGACCGATCTGTAGCGTCCGTGGAGAGCTTGAGTTGGCCGAGGACTTCAAGCACAAGCTTCCATCCGTGATGTCCCCATTTACCAGACTCGTCAAAGTGCAAAAGATCATAAGCAACCGCCAGATATGGGTCGCAGAATCGAAAGTTCCACATGAAATGCTAAAATCCGGAACGATTGAAAGGACACAATTTTGAAAAGCGTAAATACGGCGCACCACAATATTATGAAGTCCGTGATCCTTCAAAATCTTTTCTCGTTCGCCTGCAGTCCTGGCCCTCCTACTTAAATCGACAACATGCCTCATGGACTGCGATGTGCGTGGAGGAACCATGTGAACGGCGTCACCCGTAAGTCGACCCAAAAGCTCCTGAGGGATGAGACATCTCGGGCATGGGAAATTGGCCCGATTTGAGCGACACGCGGTGAAATTCCAAGCTTCTTCAAAGTCAAGTGACTCCGTATGAAAGCCAGGGTAAAGGATGCGTAGGATTGAGTCCCCGCACGTCACAGGTGATCCATTGCAGGAGCGACGGTAGAGCGAATAGAACATAGTGTCAAGGACAGTTTGGTAGATCTCACGCTTGAATTGCGCAAATTCGTAGTTCTTGTCCGCTGATCTCTCGTCGGAGCTCCCCGGATCGTCGACCTCAGAATGATGTGAATATAGCAGGTTTAGAGAAACAAGTTACCACTCACCATGACCATAAACCCGAGGATTACACCGCCGCCATTCCCCGACGCGTTGCGAATGTCGGAGGGGAGCCACATGGGGCGGCCGACAATAGGAAACATCTTGACATGCTTGGTGACAAGTCCCTTATCGAGCCAGATGTGGATTGGAGCCCAGCAGTGCGGATTTGGATCGGGAAGAGGTAGTTCGTCCTGTTAATCAACATGAGCTTCGAAAATAAATATTCAGATCAAAGGACGTACATCAACCATTTTCCACATGTCCGCCGTCCATGGCTCATTAACCAGTTTCTCTCTTACACCATTTTCGCAATAGAAAACGGATTTCGATTTCCACTGGCTCACAGATGCAAGAGACGGATCGGTAAATAAAGAGAGCATCCACTCCCACGGATCACGATACTGGAAAGTGTATGCGTACTCCTTGTCCCATAATGTGGACTTGATGGTCTTTGATTGAAACTTGAATTTTTCTAGGTAAGCGCAAGTTTAAAGGCGGAATGAAATCAACGTACTTCGACTCCATGGACATGCGCATCAGTGAGGGTTCGGCGAAATTCGCGAAAGTTCCTCAGTGTGATATCCGAGTCCTGCTTTGACCATCGTCCCGTCATCCCTTTCAACTGTGCGTCAACAATATTGGCACTTGAAACACCCTTCACCGCGGTCTCGGTGTATTCAAAGTCGGAAAGTGTCCTCCATGGCGCAAATGGAGACGCTGCATCCAAGAGAGAGCGTGGCGAGGGATTGGCATGGTAGGAGGGGCTGGGGTCGCACAGAGAAGTTATCTCGCGTGAGGCACCAACGTCCTTAGGATGAGGGATGAAATCAATGTACGCCAAAGGAAGTCGGGGGAGGTTGCTATCTAATTGATTCGATCTTTAGCTCCACTAACCGTGGCTAAGACATGGTAGGACGTACCCAATTGAGCCGAAAACGCTTCATCAACATCCATTGCTTCGGGCGCAAACTCAGGACTCGGAGCAAACATGGGCGGCAGATCAGAAATTGCCGATCCGGGTAGCCCCGGCAATGTAGACGCATTGCCTGTCAAATCCGTTGTCTATTGAATGGTCAATTTTTATGTTGAGACTTTTAAAATAGAATACGAACATCTGTCTCGATGATTGCGCTGGTGAGATGACCTTTTCGAAACTGAGCTTTATCCCATTGCCGTTTACAAAACTGCTCATGAAGACGAAATCCGCTTCCAGGCAGGGTTCTATCACAGTATTTACAATGCTTAACGCTTGTATGCTTGTTTCCGCTGGTCTGCGTTTTCCTTCGAGGCATGAGAATAGATGGAGGTAGGAGCAGTGATGAGCGTGGATACACCCTGGCCCCGCAATCAATTGATCACATGTCACATGGTATGACGTAGCAAGCTGCTTGAGCTGACAAAGCAGCCACAATTGATCTGGCACGTGATGCCTTGTTAGGATCAGAATCCCACACACTATACTGCATGAGCTCGAGCCGCAGCTCCCTTCCCATGACCTCCGACTAGTCCCCTGTCGCTCCCCGTACAGCTGCGCGCTCATACGCTCCGTAGGCGTGTCAGCAGAAAGGGTGACATCATCATCACGGCGATCAAAGATGTGAAGCAACCAACTTAAACAATCTCCGTTTCGTCGACAATGCTCACTCAATCCTCTTCCCTTTGTAACCATGAGCTCACGCGATGAAAACCAGCCTCCAAGAACCTACGACAACCTCGATCGCGGGGAGATAGTTGCTGTATGTCTAATTACAATTCTCAGCGTGCAAATCTGTTCTAAACCATCCCAGGAGATTCGACAACGCGACCAAGCCCTCCAGGAGATGGAGATCCGGCTTAACACTGCCGAGAAACGTGCTCGTTTGAGCGATGCAACCAATACGTCTGAGCGGCATGGCCGTGGTCGTCCTCGTGCAAGGTACAACAAGGACAATGACAGCGCCAACGACAACGAGGATCATCTAAATCTGGCGGGAGACGAGGCCGAAGAGATGGAGGAGATATTTAGGCTTGCAGGTCACAAGTTAGTCCTCATTTTCACATTCTGGGCTTCGACCACCATCAAGAAACTCCTGCGCTGTCGTCTCGACGACTCCTACGACGAGGCCAAGCGATTCACCAACCTCGACAACAAGATTCAAGGTGAAGCTCGTGACTTCCGTGAAGCCTTGGCTGTTGAAGGTCACATGTACATGACACAAGACTTCCTCATCCAGAAAGTAAGCCGCATCTTTCTTTATTCTGCATACGACTTAACTGTTGTCGCAGGCATCTAAAGCTATGGACCATCAACGGTCCAACACGTCCACTCGCGTCCGAAAGGGCTCTCGGGCCTTGTTCAGCATCCACCTTCCTGATCGTGTCAATGCTACGGACATGACGGATGCAACTAAACGCGAAAAGCTTTTCGACCTTATTGGAGGAAGACGGGAAGACACTGGATCCCCCGACCCTACTACGTCCCGCATCATCTTCAGCCACTTCGACGCTCCAGTTCTTCACAGCGATGGGTCCTCGACGTTCAGCATTGATACCTTCCTTCTCAACGAGCTTCCCATTCACGTGTGTCCGTTTTACTACGCCCTGTACTGCCTCAATAACTTGGTTGTTAGATTGCTGCATGTGTCCTTTTTGGCCCTACAAAGGCTGAAGCGATGGCAAAACATGTCGGATGTTCTGCTCGGGGATTGAATATGGCAGCCATTCACTCCATCCATCACACGACTCCGGGTCTTGTTGCAAACAGCGCAATGCTGGTGAGCCTTCTCGTTCTTTCTCCTTACTAGTAATAACGTGTTCGCCAGACTCTCTGGGCGTTGTCTCGTGACGAGGAGCTGCGCAGCACTGGCGTCCAAACCGGGATTGAGTACTCTAAGGTTGTCGAAGACTTCTTGTCGTATCTCCTGAAAGGTCTTCGTCTCAAAACCCTCCCCGTTCTCAATATCTTCCACCAGTGGGATGCCATCCTCTTTCCGGATACGGAACACAGCCTTGGGAACTCGGTTTCTGTGCCTTCTCTGGACGTTTCACGTGTCACTTCCGCTCTCGATGCTCTGGATTCCGCTCCTGTGCTGGACGAACCCGACAACAGCAGCTCTGGAGGTAGTGGTAGTGGATCAGAGCCCGGAAATGAAGGTATTAGTAATGAGTAAACCACGTCTCACTCATGTATTCGTCAAATCCAAGCAAAGTTTTATGAGCAAAGGATGGTCTTTCTACGGAGAATGACAGTGCGACAGTACATAACGTGTGTCCTCGTTGTCAGGGAGCTCGTCCGAATCTGCGTCAATGAGCTGGGCGCTATTCTTGGGAAGTCGACGCTTCAGAGGGCGACGGGGTTGTTGTCCGCGTTCAGCACGCAGTCGCTCGGATTCTTTGCGTTGACGGCGACGCTTGGCAATGTAATCGAGTCCTTGTAGGTGTAAGGCCTCGTCGAGATCACTCGTCGGCACCTCCTCGCTGTCAGACAAGTGTAGATGTGGACAGCTGCGGCTGGGGCGAGGTTGACTGCGTTCAAGGGAGGCAGAGGGTCCTGTCGAAGCCGCAGAAGCTTGGGAGCATAAGCCAAATGCTCTGCCGAGGAGCACAGATGACGCACCCAAGCCAACAACAACTCTCCTCAGATCCTCTACTTCTCCCTTCAGATCCTCCAATTGAGCCTTGATAGAATGGCCGGACCGGTCGCGATTCTCTTTGTCGGATCGTGAGAGCATTGAGGGTGGAGTCAGAGGATATGGTCTCGGCTTGCTGCGATGCGCGGACCGCAAATTTCGAGTGGACATATTGTCGGGCAGATGTCAAGAGCTGCTTTGAGCGTCACAGTCCTGTGTCAAAATGTCAAAGGATACTGGTACGCTGTGAGGTGCGAGTGGAGCACCGGGACGTTGTGGTCTGCGTCATCATGGCGCAAGTGGCTATGTCGAGGCTCCGACAACACTTACCACTGGAGCACAGACAATCGCGTGCGCACACATAGTCTAGTGGTTAAGTAGTTTATATCCATGTGTTCGATTCCCGCTGTGAAATAAATTGAGTGAATTCATTGCGGTTGAAATTGAGCACCTTTAAGCTGTTAATTGAGTGAATAACCTCTTGAAAGCGACGCACGTTCATATAATAAGGCGCTGTAGAAAGTGAATCAGTACAAGTGAAGACGGAGAAAGCAAGAAGACCTGTAATCCTTTTGCCCTTCACCGCTGAGACCCTGATCAGTTCTGAGAAGGCGCTCAGGCACTCAGGCCGAATCAGCGCCTGATAGTGTTCTGATCAACCGCCGATTTCTGCCTGACTGACATCTGATACTCACCTGATGCGTCGCTGACCATTCCCTGATCATTGCCTGACTGACGTCTGATACTCGGCTGATGCGTCGCCGACCATTCTCTGATCAATGCCTGACTGACGTCTGATACTCGGCTGATGCGTCGCCGACCATTCTCTGATCAATGCCTGACCACCGACTGATGACAACTGATTCAACCTTTCCTACGGAAATCAGCCAGTCATCAGGCTGAAGGCCTGAGCCCTACCTATCAGCGCTGACCGCAACAGATATGCCAATTCAGATTTTTGGGACACATACGTTCCGAGCGATGCCAGTGGCGCTGGATTCTACGAGCTCTGCCACTCTCCCGTGCACACCCATGCTCTGCGCAGCTTATACTCCAAGTGGTCCATCGACACGACATTGGAGGGCGCCGCGTTCGATGCCGAGATCGACAAACGCGTCGAGGAAGCTTACTGGCAGGCGGTGTTGTTTACAGCCGGACTCGGCCGCACCGGTCGTGAGCCTCGGGTCGATTTCTTCCTGGTGCACACCCTGACCAGCGCCATCGTCCTACCGCGTCTGCTCGATGTGCTGCCGCAGAAAGTGCATAAAGTCCAGATGCTGCAGGGATATGCGCGCGCTTCCGCCCTTTGGCTCGTCGCGCGTGGGCGGGCGCGGATCAATCCTTCGCTCCTCATGTCGTACTCCAATGACCCGGCGCCTGCGAGCCTCAAGACCAGCAATGTGACCGATCCCTGGACGCCGATCATCACCAACGGGCTCCGCTTCTTTGACTCGCACGTCATCAAGACAATCCGCGCGTTGTATTTCGGGCAGATTCGGTACGGCAAAGTCGCCGCGGGTCAGGTCATCGGTACGTTTGACAAAAGCGGCAAGGAGACTCATACCGGCCTTGCGGAGCTCGACGGTACGGCGTGGATCCGGGCGGCGGGTATCCTTCACTCAGCCCTCGGGTGGTCGTCGTTCGATAACGCGGCTGTCATGTGGGATCGCAGTGGGCTAGGTTGGGATGCAGCATGGGAATAGGCGTTTTGTCGATTTCCTCGACCGAGGGCTCAGTCATTTAAGAATGTATTCGAAAAAATTCGTCTGCCAATGACACACGACTGCCAATGACACACGAGAACCCCTTTCCACAGTCCGAATCTTCATATGTCAATACACGCATGTTCCTTCATTGGCTTAAGATCATATTTCAGTTGCTCAAAGACAGCATCTCAGATACATTTGAAATCTTTGCCAGAAAGAAGTAATCGTAGCGAATCTATTTCGCACAAATCACGAACAAAAAATCTGCAACAAATTCGCCCAAGCCGGTCTCGCCATTTCGTTCGACTTCACTTCTCGCGATGAACTTGTCAAAGGTCCTTAAGAAAGATTTTGAGATGCAGCTCATACTACACAAGATGAACGCACGAACCGGGGCTCAAAGGACGGCTCTGTCACTCCAGGATATGATGAGAGCACGGCCCAAGGGATGATTGGGCGCTGACTCAGTGGATCCTCAGTTGACCAGACGCAGAAAATTATCAAGCGAGTGAAATCGCGTCAAAAACACCTGATTCTTCAAGAACGTACGTTTGATTAACCCCAACCCAAAGACCGAATGAAGTTGGAACGAATATTAATGCAGGGAGTGGTTGATCTGATCATCGTGATGAGGCATCACATATTTCTGTCCCTTATCCGGTCCACAATTGGATAGAACAACCGTTATGGCCTGTGTCTTTGTCACAGGAACTCAGAATACCTCAAATGGGCTGTCTAAATGAATTGATGCCGCCGGATGTGTTCGGCCCTACGGGCCTCTCACGTGCGAAGCATATGACGCTGTCAAATTCTCGTGACCGACCTGTTTTCATGCATAAGATTAAATGTCAAAAACTCGACATTCTTGGCGCCAACCTCACCATCAAGCGAGAATCCACAATGCTCCGCAGCCTCAGCGCTTTTGTTCCCGCTGAAAGGCGCATATTCATATCATGGCTGCGACTCCGAGGGCCGCCGTGCGAACGGCCGAAACACTGCCTGTAGTACGTGAAGTCAATGACCACTGCCCTGATGGTCGCCCGCCCGAGTTCCCCGCACCCCCAATCGCATCTTGAGTGCTTTATATTGGGATAGGACTGACGCCCTCTATATCTTCCGAATAGTGCTGCATATGGGTCGGCGGGCCGGCATTCAGCAGGGGCTTTGGCGGTAATTCACGTGACGACAAAGGTTCAAAATCGAAGAGATGGGACGCAACAGGTGGCCCGAGTAGTAGATCTGCGTTATCTTGATCTCGACGTCGTTGAGTAGCATTGCTTGACAACGGAGGCACCCGGCCTCGGCTTATTGCTCATCGCCCGAACTGAAGATAAGAGCAAAGTTCGATGCGACATTCGCGCCCGAGCATTACGATGGGGAAACCGAGGCTCCTCGTGCCTCTCGCACCGGGCCGCCTCTGTACCCCAGCAACAACCCTTTTTTCTTATCTTCGACGCTGAGGTCTGAGTTCCCTTGGCATTCAGAAAAATCAGGTTCGTCAAAGTGCGTTCAATTTTGGCCCACTGCGTTCCTCCTGGCCCTGGATTGTTACTCACGGTGCAGGAAAGATGCGTCGACCCTGAATTTTCTGGGAAATCTTCGGGCCCGGGTTTGTGTAACCGCTTGTAAATGTAACTCATCGTGCACCGGCACCAGTGAGCTCGAGTGTCGGCACTGTGGAAACCAAAGTCCAAGCACTTCACTGGCTGCGTCCCGTAATTGGGCTGAGGAATTCCATCGATGCATCTTTGTTCCTGACGTAAAGTCAGTCTGCCGACTCCGCAATTTTGCGGAAATGAGACATCTTACGACATAGTGCGCTCCCATCAACAATTCGCTTCGAAAAAGAAGTCATTTTAGTGTAAGGGTTGCGACCGGGTCAGCTCATCTTGGAAACGTTGTATCTAGACAATGGCATGGCAACTGAAACAACCGAGTTTCATTGATGGTGTGCAGTAAGACTGCGCTGATAGAAAACACGACCAATGAGATCAAGAGACATGCCCGACACGACTCTTTCAAAACCGGGACCTAAAGGCTCCGAACTCTGGACCCGCAGCAATGGGGCCGAGTTGAACCGATGCAGGGATTGGGATCATTGTGATGGGTCCGATTGGCGACTTGGTTAGTTTGTCACGAGGAGCATTGTTCCCTCCTTCGCCAACTTGCTACCCAGCGACACTCGGAACCGGACTCAGTCAGTTTGTATTGAGCACATGGCTCGCATGAGTCGGGGCGTCGACGGGCCGTGGATCTAAGCTTTCATTCTCGCACCGAGACGCAATCCGGTATAAAGGAGGGCGGACGCAAATTCAGGAATCATTATCACCCATTCCTCTTTCCTTGCTTCCTCCCCATCGCACTCAACATGCCTTCTATCACCACTTTCCTTCAACTGTCCGCCCTCGTCGGCGCTGCGCTCGCTCTGCCGAGCAACATGACCATCATCGAGAACGGCAAGCGCGCAACCTGCACGGTCAACAGCGTTGCCAGCTCGAAGAGCTTGAGCGGATGCACCAACGTTGTCATTCAGGGCTTCACGGTGCCTGCGGGCAACACGATCACGATTGCTGTACGCTTTGCTGGGAGTTTGCTCTCGATTCATCTCATCTGACGCCTGGTTCCAGGCCGCAAAGGGCGCGACCGTCACAATGACCGGCGACGTCATTTTCGCAAAGACGACCAGTTCGTATTTCTAACCCAACTGATTTACTCTGTGGCGCTAACTTCTTCGCAGCTGCTGGTCCTCTCTTTACCTTGAACACCCCCGCGATCAACTTCGTCGGAGGAAACCACAAGATCGACGGCAACGGTGCCTCCTACTGGGATGGCCAAGGAACGAACGGCGGTTCCTTCAAGCCCCACCCCTTCATCAAGTACGGGTGTTTTGTCATGCGTGCGCGTGTATAATAGTAACATTGCATTTCAGGGTCAAGGGCTACGGCACCTTCAAGCAGTTCACCGTCCTGAACTCGCCGGCTCAGGCCATTTCCGTCGGAACCACCGGCGGTGCATCGACCATCTCCCAAGTCACCGTCGACAATTGTGAGTGGTCTTGCTTCAGCCGTAGGGTTGATTCACCTGCTAACATGATTTTCCAGCGCTCGGCGACTCCAAGGGCGGCCACAACACTGATGGATTCGACGTGAGCGCCGACGACGTCACGATCTCGTCGTGCACGGTCAAGAACCAGGACGACTGTCTGGCACTCAACTCGGGAAACAACATCATCTTCGAGGACAACACCTGCGCCAACGGCCACGGCATCTCCATCGGCTCGATCGCCACGGGCAAGAGCGTGACGAACTTCCAGGCGCTCCGCAACACCGTCACCAACAGCTTGTACGGGATCCGCATCAAGGTTCAAGCTTCTGCCACGAATGCCAAGGTTTCGAATGTCCTCTACTCTGGGTGCGTCGCACGTACATGGCCGTCCATGCTTTAAATTGATCCTCGCCCGATAGCAACAAGCTCTCCGGGATCACTTCATACGGTGTGCTGATTACCCAGAGCTACCCCGCCAACAACGGCACGCCTGGAACTGGTGGACCCATCTCTGGCGTCAGCTTCTCCGGCTCCCCTACCACTGTCTCTGGGACCAGCAACGCATACGGCCTGGTCGTTGACTGCGGTGCTTGCACTGGCACGTGGGACTTCTCTGGCCTCGACATCACCTCCGCCGGCAAGGGCCACTCGATCGCCATGGACAAGGCCAAGGTGTGTTTCACTACTCTCACACGCTGAATTCATCGACTGACAACTCGATTCAGATCTCTGGCGGCACCTACTAATCGCTTCGTTCTATTCCTCACCAGAGGGAAGAGATGCCCCGAACGATTCGCCTCCCTCTGAGACTTAGCAATCTGCATTCATTAGCTGTATCTTCAGAATTCTTCTAGCGTACTTTTCCAAACCTAATACATCTGTATCGTTCGATGATGCCTTTTCTTAGTTCTCCTACACGATTTTGCAAAATCTCGTGGCCTTGCCCACAATTCCCAACCGATCGGGGTTGGATTGATTCGGCTTGGTACAAGTTCAAACGACTCCTATCTATCAGAAGTCACTCCAGTGCAGCCGGTCTCCCTCCTTCGCAATTCAAAGTGCACCAGAACCTTAGTGACCTTGCTTACTCTGCTTCGCTTACAAGACACATCGAAAATACTGGAGTGATTCGGTCTTTGCCATCACTGTCAGATATTTCCAACACCGGCATTTGAATTCATTCCCAGACTTTCATCCATCTGCTGCAATGTCTCAGTCGTTCATCCAGACCGAATGTTCTGTATAAAAGGCAAGATACGCCCCCTCTGCATGTTAGACTGACACAAAACTGCAAATCTTCTCCAATATCTGGTACACGGGCAGCCCAGAAATCACATGTATCACATGAACCGTTGCAAATAAGATCTCTTTCCCTCCTTCACTACTCTTCGCGCTCTGTGAAGAAGGTTCTCAGTAGTGCAGATCTAAGGCAGAAGATGAACGCCGCGGACCTCAGTCCGAGCGAATCCGTGGATCTTTCATGTTTGTTCGGTGCGGTGTCGGGCCGGAAAGCCGTTCGCGCTTCAGTGGTGGAACCTCGTAGGACGAGCGCGTGGCTGTCAGACTCATCAGTGATGAGACCACAAGTAGCGCTCTGGCAGACCCGTTGCGTTGTCCCTTGTGGACTGCCTTGAGGTCGATGGCTGCTGCGAGCTTGGCCATAAATCGCGTTCGGATTTTCTCTTTCCTGGAGGTTTCTTTTAGATGTTATGGTTCAAATGCAGAGCAGCGTCGCCAACCGAAGCTTGCAGTGTTCGGATTCCCTTCATGCCGCCCCCTCGCTTCTGGTCGGGGTGAGGCGTGGTACCCACCTGGAAGGATTGGGTCAAGGTCATTGTGATAGCGCCGCGGAACGCTCGCCTTGACCAAGTGAGGGGTGCTCGCGTCCGGTGTATTGATCCATAGTCCCTGGAGCCGCCCGGTCCGCTAGAAATGATTCATCTAGAGACAATTTGGAGATGTAACCCAAAAATTCAAGAGATATGCCCACACTGTTTTCCCTGTTTCACGAGATGATTATCGGAAGATATGGAGTCGTCTGTAAATTCTGTTTTGACCCGCTGAGCTGTTGGAGAGAAAACCAGTTTCATCATTTTCGTCGGAGAGTTGAATGACCTTACCTTCATGCTGATCTTCGCTTCTGACCGAGCTCGGAGAATATCCGTCAAATGCGTCAAATATTCGATTTCTCGGCCTGCTCGAAGGGATATTGTGCTCTGTCGGTTCAGATTTAACCGGAGTTGTGTGCAACTCTAATTCTATAGGTTCAGACTTGATCGTTGTTCTGTTCAGTTGGACAGCTAGGACGACTTGAGCATTCGAATCGAATCGATCGGCCCACACAGCAGCTTACCTTCCCGACAGGGAACCGGCTCATCGTCGTCGGACTTTCTTCGCTCCGATTCAAGCGCGGCATTGCGCCTCTCCATCTCCGTGAACATGGATTGGAGGGCGTCCATCGGTTCTGAGACCGCTTCAAGCTTCACCTCAAGACGCCGTTCGGCCATCACCCCAAAGAGCTGTCCGAGCTGATGCTCAACATATTCTTCCTTGACCGGCGACTTGTGGTCGCCGTGTCTGGATGGGAACTGGGAGGCTGGATGCGGATGGAGCAGGGCTTGTGCGAGATCCTCTGTGGTTGGTCGTGTGAGAACTCGTTCTTCCCTGAAGATGGTCGGATAGACAGAATAGCTCACATACCTTCTTCATAAGGATCAAGCTTTCTCACAGGTATTGATCCATCGGATGGCAATGTCGGAAAGTTAGGTGGAAACTGGTAAGGAGTGAAAGCAAACTAGTGATTCAACGTCAGTCTCGATAGCAAACTCTCTCGAAGACGCACCTCGGAGACGGGTTCGGGCGGTGGAGAACGGTGTCCCAAAGGCCCCGCGTCGGCAATGCCATGATCGGTTTTGGACGGGGGAAGAGTGAGCTGTTGTTGCTGTATCAGATGCAGAGGAAGCGTTTTCGCAAACTGGCGCTTCTTGTGTGCGGGTAGGGCAGGGGACGGGGATGGGTACGGATCTGCCCCGCGACGTGCCTGGCTCCATTTGATGGGGAAGTCGACCGGTAGCTCGGAGAAGCTTGGAACACTTCCCGTCCACTCTGTAATCGAAGTTAGTCTGACTTGGAGCGGGTAAATGCGGCACACACGGGTTTTGTTGGGATCGTTGCACGCCTCGTAGTCGTATTCGTACCAGGTGCTTGTTTGAGACGTATTCGATGGTGCATATGCTGACGTGAGGAATTCGGAAGGAATGTGCGTCCCCAAGACGGGGTCGAGGCTGACTAACTGAGTATTGGTGATCTGGATGACGAGATAGCTGTGCTGCGATCGATGGAAAACCTTGATTTCGTTCGGGAGGGTGTCGACTCGGCACAGATCGGAGATCGCTCGGCATACCCACCCGACCACTGCATTTGTGTTCTGTTTATCTGCGGAGGAGGCGCCGTACGGCCAAGGATCGTGGATGTACAACCAATGACTGCCACGGGGTCTAGTGTAGACTTTCTGCTCAGGGGAGTCAGCCGCCTTCACATGGCATGCGCTGGGCTGACCATGGCTTTTAATTTTGGTCTCTTAAGCTGCGGCGCTGTGCCCATGGCGATCTGTTTCTTCGATCGTTGGAAAAGAGGGTGGGTGGGGAGACGTAAGCACTGTCGGGTGTGATGAAGGTTGATGCAATCACGAATCCTTTGACGAGTGGGCACGTGGTCTGCTTGACCCGAGTTCACCCGAATTTGCCCGATTTTGCAAACTCTCCGATTTGTGCAGATGAATACATATAAGCAAGGACGAATGTTGGCACAGTAGGAAAATAATTTTCCAGCAACTGACATGCATCTAAATCCAATCTTTGATGCCGGAAAAGCTTGCACTCAAGTCAGTGCCAAGTTGTACCTATCAGCATCTAACACAGCCGCATGCGAGTCGCGCATAACAAGGTTTTTCTCAAATACATCTTAATCATTTCAAAAGCCGCAGAGCTCACAGTCTAGTCTCCAACTGCAGTGGTCATGTTCAACTTGAACGTTTTCGACACGTGCACATAAAGTCGTGACAGTGACTAGGGACTCAAGTCACTGTCACTTTTGCTCTCACCCCATGAGCATCGTCATCGTTCAAGATTTCCACTCCATACCACGGAAGCACCGAGGTTGTCGATCCAGTCACACGCCCACCGTTTTACGTAAATTAGTTCCGCTCCAGTGGACGTGCATCGAGCGTCACGTGGCCCCACGCTCATCCGCCCTCAAAACCATGAGATTGTGCGGAGCTTGACACTTCTTCGCTCCTCAACAACTTCATCTGAGACACACATCCAACTCAATACTATAACATCAACAACACCGCCAATGTCCACCACCGCATACATGCCCTTCCTCGTATCGACCCCGCAGCAAGAATGGATGTCGGAGGAAATGCGCAGGGGGGAGTTCTTTCCCCCGCCGCCTACTGGGAGCGGACAGAAGAACGGCTCACGGGGCGGGAGTCGACAAAGCAGCACACCGAGTACACCGAATCCGGAGGCAGTCCCGCGCGAGCAGAGACAGGATCCGGTCACTCAAGCGTCAGTCACGCATCCCCAAGTTGGTGAGTCTTTGATTTTGCATCATACATGCATGCTTGCATTCGCTTACCGTTGTCATGTTTCTTTCTCCCAGGTGCACTACTGAATCCCCTCTCGCACTCCCCGCTTACGCAGATGAGCCTGCCATCGAATTCGACTTTGTCCTCCAGCCTGTCGCAGCTATCTCCCGCCAAGGAACAGGGCTCGGAGACAATGATACCGCCGTCCGAAACTAGCGATTCTCCCCGCGCCACCCGATCGGCATCTTCGATAGTCGAGTCACACACGCCCATCTCGCACGCGTACCCGGCTTCCTGGGGTGCGCAGTCGAAGGCTCAAGCAGTGAAAGCGGACGTTCCGGTACAAAGCCCTCTTTCGGACGAATCCCGAGAGATCGACAAGACACAGACAAGGTCAAACGTGCCACAGGACTCCAATGCTTCCGCAACGACGTTACATGGGTCGGTCGCGTCGGATTCGTCAGCAGTGGCACCTTCAGCAGCTGTCGCAGGCTCCCATGTTTCTGGTGAGCTCGTCGCTGCTCCATTGACTTGCAGCTGCCGTACTGAGGATTTTGGTCCTGCAGATGCAGAGCTCATCGGAACAGCAGATGCGCCCGGTCTATTGGACCGCACACCTGTCATGTCGCCGTCCGACACGCCCGACTACATTTCCCGTGGTATGTGACATCTGTCCTCAATCAAGCAGTGCACTCACATTCGCTCTCAGGCGTGGTATCCTCACTGTCGATGGACATCCCGCCTCGCTCCGCTTCAGACCACTGGCGCCCAGAGACATCGCAAACGCCGATCTCCGTCGTGCAGCGCGCATCGCCCAAGCTGTTGTCAACGCCCAACGAGTCGGTCGACCTGCTCCAAAGCCCGGACGCCTCAGCCCAGCCTCAGGTGTTGTCCTCGCCCCAGTCCATCGACAGCGACCAGCAGATGACAAGCGCGGAGTGGGCCACGGCGGCGAATGTCGATCCTTTTCACGTCAAGTCGCCCACGCCGCAAGAGCTTTCCGAGACACAGCTATCTCTCATGATGCCGGCGCCGCATCAGAGCTTGAGGACTAGCAGTACGCTTATGACGCATTCGGGGCACTCGAACACGGGATTGGTGCATTCGCCTGGCGATGCTCAGGTTGCTGCCGATCCTGCGACCCCGAGCGAGGCACCGATGGCTTCAGAGGAGACGCAGGCTCACATCGCATCGCATGGTCACCCGGACATGGGACTTGTGCAGGGTGCTGAAGACGCGCAGGTCGTTGATCCTCTCGATTCGAGCATCGCGTCGACAAATGAGGGCAAGAACCGGCCCGAACAAGACGTGGCGCTTGTGCGGTCGCCCGGGGATCTCTCTGACCCTCTCAAGGCATCGATTGCACGGGGGGGAGACGGCTCGATGACAGATGACCACGTGCTCGAGCTGAATGGGTCTGGTCACGGCACCACAAATCTGCCCGAGGATCTGTCCGCTGGGGGACTGGGTGATGAGGCACCCGCGGAGGGTGCCGTGCAACCTGAGGTTGCGTCGTCGGACCGTGTTTTTGACCGTGATGCGGCAAACGCACAAACGGAAAAGACGAGAAGAAAGTATCAGCGATTCGGGAACGTCGGTACCACTGCTGAAGAAGGTCCGTGTCACAATCCTCAGGGTCTTGCCTTGTGGCTCACAAGCTATGCAGAAACTTCGGATCGAACTCATCCCCTGAATGAAGCGGGTATGGGGCTAGTGCAATCGCCCGGTGACGCTCAAGTCACGCATCCTCTGGGGCCCCCAAACGATCCCGAGGATGAGAAGCAAGAGCATCGACGCTTTGATTCGGGAACGGGACTAGTGCAGTCGCCAGGAGACGCTCAAGTCCCCGACCCTCTCGAGTCCACCAGCCACACTCTTCCGAAGCCACTTGTGCGGGATGTGGCGGACACCGGACTGGTACAGGCTTCGCAAGGTGCTCCAGGAATGTCATCCGGAGCCAGTCAGACGCGGAGCGACCAGGCGCTGGAACTTGGCCGCCACGATCATGGCATGACGATCTTGGGTCAACGTCTATCATCTCAAGACCCTCGTGATGAGACACAGAGGCAGGATGATGTGCAGCCAGGCTCTACGGTGTCACCTACGACTCCACCTGTTCGTCCGGCCCCGGATGCCGTCGACTCTACCAACAGCAAGTATCAGCGTGCCTCGGAAGCGAATGTCAGTGCAGACAGGGTGGATGGCTGGGCGGAGCAAGGTGCGCTGCTCTTTTCTGGTTATGATGGTATCGCTGACCAGTCTTCAGATACATCCTCGATGTTGCCCAACACCCCACCGATCAACTCACTACCGTCTGGCATTGCTGAGCATCTACAAGACCGCGAGGGAACGACTCCAGCTGTGTCGTCGGGAGTCCCGGACACCGCGCCGTCCGACTCTCTGCTGCCGGCTGTGGCTGGGCGCCTCCACCAACTGGGCGAGGAGACGAATGACGAGAAGAAGCCCACCTCGGCGGACGACCCACCCCCGCCGGCGAAACATGTGACGACGATAGGTCCAGATCATCCCGTCTCTCATGGAGATCACAGCGCCACGGCCGAGCATGCTCAGGGCCCTGTAGCCGAGGCCGCTGCGACCCAGGACCAGCCTCGCCAGCCCCGCTCTCGGCCGCGGTCGCCCCCGCCCCCGCCGAAGTCGCTCAAGGATCGGATCGTCCAGAAAATCAAGGATACGGTGCACCACTAGGCGGTGCATAGAGCCTATGCTCGTCGCGTATCCAAATGTACTTGTAAATGTATATCAACCAATGCTTGTCGAATCGATGACCCTCTACGCTCATGGCAGCTTGATCACGCCGGCGAAACATATGCTCCGTGGCCCAGCTGGTTAAGGCGTCTGACTGTTAAGTACATGTGCATTTAAATCAGAAGATCGAGAGTTCAAGTCTCTCCGGAGCAGGTTGGAGCAATCCGTTCCGAATTCATGTTTTTTTTTTGGTCCTGTTCACGTTTCGGAGAGCGTCAGACCTCACCTTTCGAAACCCTTATCAACCCGCCAAGACGATTTACTTCCCGACGAACCCAATGTAAAAGGACCACAAGACAAACAGATCAGCTGAGCACGAAAAACCTCCCGCAACGTATGTAGACGGAGGGCTGGCAAATTCAATCAGGTGATCGCATTATGAAAGCATTCTCTGACAACAGTCCCACCTGTCTTCAGCAGCTGCTCTGTGGTCTACGACACCCTAGGCATGTCGATGGAAGTTGCCACTTCGACATGCAATTCAACGATTTCCATCGGAACTGACTCAAACCCTCACTCCTCGATGTCCTCCATTTTGCCTGTTGACTGCACTCTTCCATCTCTGTTTGGGACTAAGCACTGCTCAGTTTGGGGACATTAGTCTTCATTCCACGCGCAGATGTCCGCGTCCTGACGTAGTCTCATCGTCAACCTCCTTAGTTCCACTAGCTCGTCCATCCACGTGGGACCATCTTCGATGCTGGGAACGCTCATGCCCTTCATGTGCGTCTTGGACCGAGAAGTACATGGAGAATGCGATCTTTGGTACGTGACGACACTTGAGGGAAAGATTCCAGCTCATGTGCCACGTCCTTTCATACAAGCTGACTGGGTCAGATCGATGGTGGGGCCATCCGACACCGCTTTCCATTTCCTGGCTCAACTGCAATGCACATCCTCGACCTTCCGGCCGAGCTGCTCATCGCGATCATCGTGCACCTCCCTCGCCACCCCGAGAAAGACTACACGACAGTCGACGAATCCTTGCGGAATCTCGCAGGCGGCCACCTCACGCCCCTCTCGCTCGTGTGCTCGACGTGGCGACGCGTCGTGCAAGGCACCCCCTCTCTCTGGGCCCGCATCACCCTGCATGGGCCCGTGTGGGAAATCTCGCTCCGCCGGGGCATGCACATTCTGCGCACCTCGCTCTCGCGCGCAGACACGCATCCACTCGACATCGTCGTCTCCTCACCGCCGCACCGTCCGGCGCTCGATCTGCTCGCAGCGCGCGCAGAGCAGTGGCGCACGCTACGCATCTTCTGCTATGCCCGTGATCTGCGGTATCTTGGCTCGCTGGGCCGGCGTTTCGCGGCGCTGGAGAGTGTGGATGTGCGGGTCGACGGTCTGCGCTGGGATGGGGGAGGCCCGGTCTCTGAAATGGATCTTTTCGAGCACTCGGTGAAGCTGCGCGCGATCTCCGGGTCCTCTGCGTACATCCTGCGTTTGCCGTCGCTGCGGGTGGAGAGATTGCTTTTCATTCGCCTGGACGAGATAGACCGGATGAGTGTGCCCCGTATCCCTTCCACGATGGCGAGACTTCCTGTGGGATCGACGTGTGTGCTGTCCTTCGCGAACTGCTCGATCTTCATCGACAAATCCGTCTCCAATCCACCACCACACGCGACTTCGCTCTCGCATGTCCGTGCACTCCATCTGCTGGAGCTCGATCGCGGCAACAGCTGGCATAACATCATCAGCAACCTAACGCTGCCTGACCTGGAGCACCTCTGCCTCTCGACTCAAGACGGCCTGCGGTCCACACGGCTCGCCGTCCAGTGGGCGGCGTCGGTGTTCCTGAGCCTGGCGAGCCGATCGGGTTTTGGTCCTCGACTCCGCACGCTGTGTTTGCAGGGCGTGTTTCTCCCGGAGAGGGATCTCATAGCGTGTCTGGAAGCCTTACCTGTCCTTGAGAGTCTCGCGCTGGCGGACCATCTAAATGGTGTCACGTCCGACCTGACCATGTCCCCGGTCTATGCGGTCACCGATCGGCTTCTCGGCGAGCTCACCATGCGAGCACAGACTCTCGTTCCTTGTTTGCGTCTTTTGCACTGTCGCACATTGCTTCGGTTCCATGCCCAATCCTTCTTGGCATTTTTGGTGTCTCGCATGATAGATGGCGCCTGCTTCGCATGCATTCTGGATCAGCTCGGTGGCCCGCAGGATGAGGTGCCTGTTGATCTGGTCGAGATTGAGATACTGTGCTCAACGGGGAAGCTCGCTTTCACGCTCAGCAATCGGAGCCCAAGCGTTGTAGCCGCATTCGAGGTGTCACACGACTAGAGACATGTACTGCGACTTATTCCAGTCATTTCCTTTTCTGGATTACACACTTGCGTCGGCTGCACACCCGTTCCTTCTTGCCCTAGCATGTCTGAACGGTGTGAAAGCACGTGGCGCGTAGACGACGATGCAGACAGTAATTAGAGAGCTCTTCGACGATGGGGGGACTGGGTCTATTTCGGAAATTCGAGCAATCTTGCCATGAATGAGATCTCTGAGCATAAATATGTCGAATCCCCCGTAGAATACCTTCCATACGCTGCGCCTTTTCTCTATGCGGGTGTTCCCAACATGTAGTCGGAAATAAATACATTGTCACTTGAAGCGACGCAGGTGGATATAAGCAGCGTCTCATTCCACGTCCAAGGAATTGGAATTGACCGACGAGAAGCACGATAAGAAAGAAGAATTTCATGTGGCTTAGGGATGGTGGGTAAAGCACGACATGAGCGGATCCAGTCGAAGGAACATGTGGCGATGGGTCGATGAATGGGTTCATCGTTGCCGGGCGGAGCTCTTGCACAATCCAAGAGAGGACTCTACAGGCTCTAAACATATCATCGCCGTCTCCTGCTGGCTATCGTCATTGACATCCCTCCCATCCGCTATCTTCCTGCAAAAGTCCGCCCTCATCGGTGGGGCGCTCGTGCTTCCGGACGACATGACTGTCAACGAGACCGAGAAGCGCGGGTCTTGGCCTGACCAGCAGCCTCGAAGACCCTGAGCGGCTGCAGTGACGCAGTAGTCAGGGTCTCACTTTGAAAATCGAGGTGGGCGACAATTTGGCGCTAAGCGTAAGGGACATCATCCGACGCGTCAACTCGGGCTGCGAAGTGCACGAACCAACGTCACCTTCTCTGAGAATGACCTCTTCGCAATCAAGTTTCTCTGGCTGATTCTCGATGATGTGTTGACTTGCTTCTCGACGCTCAGGGAGATCAATGGTGGTCACCACACCCGGGTGTTCGGCATCAAACCAGATGACGTCACTAAATCGTTTTCCACGGTGAAGAATGCAGCCTCTACATGGCCATAAACTGTTCTCTTGGTCCCCCCATTTAGTTTGAGACCGGCCACAAGAGTCGCTAAGGTTTTCTAGATCATCCAACACGCTTCCTACTGACGTTGCACGTGATAACCCAGGCATGAACTGAGGCATGAGCTCTTTCACTGCTCTGAAATCCGCTGCTTGATCCTGCGGATAGAACTGCAGCTCGCCTTCGTCACTCGGGAAGATCGTGACGAAATGGAATACACATTTTCTCTAATCCCTTCTTGGACGAAATGACCTTGGCCTGGGAGACCGATACATACATGCTTTCCGATGAAATTGATTTCTACAGATTGTGCGTTTCCGCCACGCTGCGGACTGACTTGTGGGAAAAATAAATCGGGTTCCTCACTTTTCTCGTCTCCAAAAATCAGGGAACAATGGACTTTTTTGCGGTGGAGCGGAATCATTAATGAACCGCGGATTTTCCGGTTCAACCGTGAGAAGGCGAAGCTCGGCAATCAACAAGGGGTGACAAGGCAGAAAAAGTCAGCCGGAGATTATGGCCGGGGATGTCATGATCAGGTAACTTGCGGTCACCTCCGGACCTGGGAAGCTTCGCCGATCAGAGTGCTAAAAACAGGTTTCGCAGACAAAAGATCTTGAGCGGACATTCACGGTCTATGAGAGTGTGAGGTTGGCTACTTGATTCATTTGGATGGTTTCGTTGAGCCGGTGCTTGGGCGGAGACCAGTCCTGAGGCTGTCCCATCACCGGCGTCAAAGTGCCATCAGTGTCAACTCAAAGTTCCCAAACCTAGAGCACCCATCGTGATCGATCTGACGGGCCCCGGCGGGCGGGGTTTTTGTTCATCTACGACGCGCAAGTGAGCACAATCCGCAACGACCGACTCGGGATCCGTTGCTGCTCACGTCACTGGCGAGTAGGTGGCTTCATGGTCCGGGAAAAACACCCTGACTAAATAAGAGACCATCGGATGAATGGATGCTGAATTGTGGCCGTGTCCAGCGGTGATATACTGCACAGACAGAGCTCACCGAGACGTTCCCAGACTGCAGCACGCTCTTCAGATCGGCTGGGAAGAGCATGAGCAAGTTGAGTATTGAATTACAAGCTTTTGGTCGCTAGTAGAAGATATAGAGGAACGAGCAGCAAGTGAATGCACACTTCGGCGAGGATAATATTGCGTACAGCTGTACTACAGCAGACTGATTAACCAGAGAAGGATCCCATCTCAACGTAGTCATTCAACTAGAGCCCATCATTTATGTCTGTAAATGCTCATTACCTGATGATGAAGGCAATGCATAAGGTGCTGTGTTACGGACATATGTCTGTCTCCCAATTCGAACCGCAAAACTCAGCTGGGACTAATCGAGATGTCAGGTGTCGTCGGGAATGTGCTGCATATCCCGCGCTGCTCGGAGAACCAGCCCTGATGGCTTCTCGTTCACTTCGTACTTCCTGCAGATCTACTATATGTGACGGTCATCTTACTCGAATTCGTCCTGATGATGATGTCTGGAGCTTGGGTCTATGCTGAGCACCTCGGCCTGGAAGGTGTTGTCGCGCAAATCCAATTCTATCGCCAGATTGATAGTGTTCGCACTTACGACGTTCTGGCTACAGAGAAGAATCGGATGACAACGCCGAATCGTCCAGACCTACCGATATCTCAGGCGCTGAGCCTGGGTTCCCCGGCAGTAGAAGAAGTGATATGATTGACCGTTCATCACCGACGAAGGTCGAGTTGGACCAAGCGTGTCTGATATTCTCGATTCTGAACCACTTGTACGAATTGAACACGATGAGCTACATTGAGTCTTTACCTCTGTCGGACCTCTGTAGATCACGGATCGACCAGCGTTGTCCTGACTCCTCCGCTCTTTACAAAGCCAAGAGATTTTTCTGGCAGAGATTTTGTTCCTTTGAAGCTTTTGCTCGGTCTCAATACTCGGGCGGTTAAGCGGTGACCGTGCAAGCACTCTCAATCGCCTCCGCGGATCTCGCGCAATTTCTATACCACATAGATGCTACTGTATGTCAAGTCCCTTCATGAGCAACCAACTCACTGGATAAGCTCGCGCTTCGATTGAGAGAAGCCATTTTGGCGTAATTTTAGGGTGAACGGAACAGCCGGCTCCACTCGTGGGACCTGGATACATCTCAGTGCCCGATCGTTGGCATAGCAACTTGTGTAATTATCTGTCGTGGCTATTGGAATTCATGGAGGGATCGGATGGAAACCTCTCTTGCTCATTATACGAAGATGAAAGAATGCAGGCTCAGGCACGCTCTGTAATATTTACTTCAACTGTGTTCAGGCTCTGCACTGAAAGTCTGAGGAGTGAGGATCCGGGCGGGATCATTATCTTTCTGATGTGCTTGGGCGGCTTTGACAGCCGGCGTCTTGCTTCCCACGTTTGAGTAATTGTCCCTTAGCAAACTCGGGAGCGGGGTCTTTCGCTGTCGAGCACATGGGTGCACAAGTCGAGGCGTTGACGGACGGCTCATCCTTGACTCGCAGCACAACAACACAATTCAAATATAAGGTGAGGGGTCCGCACGCTGAGCAAGCATCATCCTGTTTTTGTTCTCCTACCTACTCATACTTCGGCTCAAAATGCCTTCCATCACCACTTTCCTTCAACTTTCCGCCCTTGCCGGCGCTGTCCTCGCACTCCCGAGCAACATGACTATCATCGAGAACGGCAAGCGCGGGTCTTGCACAGTCAACAGCGTAGCCAGCTCGAAAAACTTGAGCGGCTGCTCCAACGTCGTTATCCAGGGCTTCACTGTGCCTGCCGGTAACACGATCACGATCGCCGTACGAGCCGTTTCGATCTCTTTTTCTAATCGACTCATCTAATGAGCGATTGCAGGCTGCGAAGGGCGCGACGGTCACCTTGGCTGGTGACGTCGTTTTCGCCAAGACTTCGAGTGCGTGGCCCTCCGTGCTATTCAGATCATGGAGGCACTAACTTGCTCACAGCCCAAGGCCCGCTTTTCACCTTCAACACTCCCGCAATCAACTTCAACGGAGGGAATCACAAGATTAACGGTAACGGTGCCTCGTACTGGGATGGCAAAGGCACCAACGGTGGATCGTTCAAGCCTCACCCCTTCATCAAGTGAGTGCGCTTGTGTGTGGACAGGGGACGTGGATATTGATGTCGTGCCTTAGGGTCAAGGGCTACGGCAACTTCAAGCAGTTCACCGTTCTAAACTCGCCGGCTCAAGCGATCTCTGTTGGCACCACCGGAGCCACGACCATCTCCCAAGTCACCGTCGACAACTGTGAGTGACCGCGCTCCATCGCGTGTCTGAATCCTTCGGTTGATTGGTCATTCAGCGCTCGGTGACTCCAAGGGCGGCCACAACACTGATGGATTCGACGTCAGCGCCGACGACGTCACGATTTCGTCGTGCACAGTCAAGAACCAGGACGACTGTCTTGCGCTCAACTCAGGCAACAACATCGTCTTTGAGGACAACACCTGCGCGAACGGCCACGGCATCTCCATCGGCTCGATCGCTACGGGCAAGAGCGTGACGAACTTCAAGGCGCTCCGCAACACTGTCACCAACAGCTTGTACGGTATCCGCATCAAGGTCCAGGCTTCTGCGAAAAACGCCAAGGTTTCTAATGTCCTCTACGACGGGTGAGTCCAGCGCGTCATCCCCGCGCCACATTTGTTGGGTACTCATCGCCTCGCAGAAATAAGCTCTCCGGAATCAGCTCGTACGGTGTTCTGATCACTCAGAGCTACCCCGCCAACGACGGCAAGCCTGGATCCGGCGGCCCCATCTCCGATGTCAGCTTCTCTGGCGCCCCGACTACCGTCTCCGGTACCAAAAACGCGTATGGCCTGGTCGTTGACTGCGGCGCTTGCACCGGTACCTGGGACTTCTCCGGTCTCCAAATCACCTCTGCGGGTAAGGGCCACGCCCTTGCGCTCAACAAGGCCAAGGTAAGTTCCCTGCGGTTTTCCCGATCAGGAAAGGCTTAGTTGACGCAAACTGCAGCTCTCTGGCGGCCACTTCTAATCATTCTGCGCCGTATAATTATCTCTCCCCCGATTCTCCGGAGTCTAGCACTATCATTCAATAATTGTATCCCCATAATCTGCTTGGTGTTGACTGGAGGATACAATATATTCGTTTTTGTCCTCATTTTTCCAAAGTAACTCGAAAGATATTTTGACATCTCTCTCGATCTCAGGCGGTATTTTTCAGAAACATACCAGTCCGATCTCTCAGTGATCACAAATTCTCTGTTTCGATTCCAGGAATCAATGGGACTAATATCTATATCCTCCGCAAAAGCACGGGACGTTGGACGGAACCCCGCAAACGCAACGTCTGTGAGATGGACGTCAGGATCTCGATGTCGGACTGAATAAAGAGCTCAGAGGACTCACTGGTATTGTGAAAATGAGCCAGTTTGAGCGGTAGCTGGGAACTGGGCATTGCTTGGCGCAGCATGACTCGCCGCTCCGTATCCATACGTCGTTGCGCTTCCAGTGTTGTAAGACATCGGCGAGTGGCTGCTCCACCCTTGGGATTGAGCCGGGGCGTGGGCGGAGGACATATTGCCCGTCGGATAATGCCCCAGGTTCATTTGGGTCCCGACAGTGGTGTCATATGCAGGAGTTTGATTGACATGGCTTGACTGGCTGTGATAGCTCTGCGCGTAGCCCGACGGATATTGGGCAGCAGTCGATGACGATTCGGATGCGGTGGGAGAGTGTGCTTGAGATCGAGCCTGCGAGTTAGGCCGAGAGGGGTGCTTCTTGACAGGCAGGTAAACACATTCGAGCCCGAGACGAGCACATCCCGTACATATCTTCTCCTTCGACTCCGAGAGGCACTACAGAAGCGAAGGCATCAGCAAAATCAGTGAAAAAAGTATGTATCAGGAAGGTATTGTACATACCTTGGTCTTGCGATCCCGGCAATTGGTGCAAGCAATGATAACGCGCTTGGAGATTTGAAATTCGTCCATCTGAAAGAGAGAGGGGTTCGTGCACCATCAATGATGCTGCGCTGCGCACTTTATACACTGAAGGCTAAGTGCATATCCCGGAGAACAACTTAGAGCGACGAGGTTTGAGTCTAGGCTGTCGAGGGGACATCTCACTCGAGGGCGGGGTAGGCAAGGCGGCTAACGGCGCACTGCATTATCAGTCACGAGCAGGAGGGTTGTGCCAATATACCGAGTAGCCGACTGCCAGCGTCTAGTATCTCTGTCACTTGCTATATTTAATGAGTGAGAATACCTAGCAGTCGGAGTCACATCCGACCACCATGAGTCACTGCCGGGGAGAGAAACAGCCAGCCGGTTGAATTATGCCTGGCTACAAAGTGGCGAGCAACTTGAGTCTGTGCACGCTGGCTGTGTAACGAGTGAAGATCTTCCATGAGATGACTGCACATTGTCCTCCCTGTACTAATAGAGACCTGGTTCGAGTAACAGGTCTCCAAGTCAGACTGCGAGGAAGCCGCCCGTCGATCACAGATTCTCAATGGGACGGGCTGAGGCACGATTTCTGTTCGATGAGATTGACGCCGGAGAGCGTCAAGATCGCCGTAGGAGAGACTTTAGCTAGAGAACGCAGACAGCTAGCTGTGTTCAGGCAGGGAGGAGGACAACGAAGAGTGAGGTTACGGCCGATCAAGTCTGACCGGCATCTAGATTGATGTCATAATTGGTTTTGAGGAAGGCATTGGGAACTCAAGAACGTGCGACCCCGTTCCCGCTCCGTACGAATAGATGATGTACGCTTTGAATGCAGATGATAACATCTCTATCAGCTCCTCTGTTCACTTGTTCTCGCTGCATGGATCCCCCTGTCGGCGCACTTGAAGCTCCGTGCGCTGATCTCCGTGATGCCGATCATGCTGATCTGATTTCATTTCCTGTCAGCGAAATCGTACTGTATGTAGCGAGTTCAGAGCAAGATCTACGGAGAGCCCCATCTGGGATTAAAAGGGACTAGAATGTGGCGTTAAGAGACTGGCATACTTCATCCCTGATCACTGCAATATCCACACTGGTCATGGTTGACCAGGTCAAGCTCCAGCGACATGTGAAAATGGTCCAATGAGAGCGAGATGCAGATGATTGTGGATCAGTGGACGCAGTGGCAGTCCGTCCCGTGAAAATGACATGCTGTGCGTCACAGGGAAACAGGCGTTTGTTCCGGAAAAACATCTTGTCTTTCACATTCGGGGCGTGTCTTTCGGTCGTACATACATCACGAATGGAGATCTCGTCGGACGTGACTACACCTCTACATGTCTCCGACTTCAAGCGCAGTGTCAGCATCCAGATGATAGATGTTACATTGAAATACAGCAGATAGCGAACAGATACAATACAGTTTCATTCAAGAAATATCAATGATGCTTGCGTTTCCCGCCCGTGGACATGGACTGCAAAAGCATATCAGAGTTGCCACGAGATGCGGAAATGACATAGACGTACCTGGCCGAGGGATCTGGAATGACTCGGCACAAGATTGGGTAGCTGATGCGCATGGTTCCCATGCGGTGGTCCAGCAGTGTGATATACCGTATTAGAAGACGATGCGGTCACTCGGTGCTGCTCTGCACCACGATCACGATGTCGATCCCGATGCTCGCGCGGCTTGGACAGGGAGCGCCCATGAGAGTGCGCACGACCACCTGCGCGGACGGAGTGCGCAGGCGACCGAGCACGCAGTCGACTGTGAGAGCGCGCACGAGAGCGCGAGCGCCCGCGACGCTCCTCGTCCGTGCGCGCATGCGTCTGAGGCTGGTGTTCGTGCCGGCCGTGACTGTGAGAATGTAGCACAACGGGCGGTGCTTGCGATGCCATCAGCTGGTGATGCTCGCGCGGGCGATGTGGCTGCTGCTGCTGGGGATGCTGCTGATAGCGATGGTGGCCATCATTCACATGAGATGGTGCTGGTACAGCAAAGGAATCATTGCTCGCCGGCTGGCGGCCGCGGGTGGGATCTAATCTCGCTCCGTGATGCTCCCTGTGCGCTCCAGACCAGCGCGGATCTCGTCCCTCATGGGTGTCTCTTCTCCCATGCTTATCTTGCATCCAATCGTCGACACGCCGTTGCCGCATCGGCGTGTTCCAGGGCGGAAGGGACTGGGAGGATGCGATACTGGTACCCGCCAGCTTCCCCCGCAGGGCCTCCATCTCGGACTCATCGTCTGCGCGGAAGTGCAGACTGGGTCTTCTACTCGAGACCGACTCGTTCGAAGTCGGCATTGCAGATGCGCGGTGACGTGAGGGCCTTTCACCCTGGGTCGCGAACCGCACTGGTGCGTGCGCCCCGTACGAATGCACTTCGGGGCCGGCGGTCGAGTGAGCGTAGTGTGGAAGCAGGTGGGATGGTGCTATTGCCGTTGGAGGAGTGGAGTAGGGGGGCGACGGAGACGACCAGTGCGGATGGGGAAGTTCAGAACGATGATGGTGGGACCGACGTGGAGCCGCAGCCATATCTGAGAGCGCGGTAGGCAGGAGGTATGGGTGGACATGGGTGGGACCTACTGATACATATATCTACACATCCAGCACGGCACCATCTGCACACCTGACCCCACTCTTGTGGCTGAATCACATCATGGAAACACCAGTCTTGGGCGCGCTTGATCCCTTCCGCGCTGTAACTGCGCGTTCGGGGATCCACTTTGCGACATCCTGAGTGTGGTCAATGGAGGGAGGAGCATGAGGTAGACTTGCTTCCGGTCACTCGAGGACGGCCAGTCAATCATTCATTGTCTACAGCGGCCCTCTGAAAGGTCTGCGCGCGGTGAGCGTCTAAGTGATAAGCATATGGTGTTGACAACGGCTTAGTTTTTTCACCGGCTGGTTTCGGTCAGCAAAGAATGTCCGCAGGATGACCCAACACCTCTTGCGTTTCATTGCTACAAACACTGGCTGATTGCAGGTGGGAGGGTGCGCAAGAAAAGACATGGGAACTACCGATTTCGATTGGATCCGATCAAGTGATCAAATGTCAGCCTGTCAATACTTTGTTTCCTTGCTCGATCGACGATTCTCCAGAATACGGGAAACGCAAGGACTGCACAGAGGCATCCAACAAGCGTTCTACAACTACTTTTGCTATCTCCGCGTCTAGCCCCTGATTCGATACGCGGCACCATCTCGACCTCGCCGATCGGTTCTCGGAGGCTCCTTCTCCGCAAGCTGGCTTGCAATTGTATCACGAAGATGAACCTCATCACCGCTTACGACGGTAACTCCTGAATCCTGACCCATCTTGTTTGTTCTCAAATTGAGTGGGACAGGATGCGGCAATCGGGCCAGGACCCTTGATCCGAGTCTCTTGCACTACGCAAAAATGTACGGATCAAAATGCGCGGATCGAAATCCAGGACGATGTAGATGTGACAGATGTGACCTCCATTATATCCTCCCACCCAGTTACCTCACACGAACTTTGGACCTAGCACACATGCTACTCAGCAGGATTGATGAGCAAAGTCGACCTCGCCCGAAGCTCAATGTCGAGTCGTGTGTCGCGCAGTGCACGTTATGCGTAAGTCGTACCACCAAGCGGCGGATACAGGCAGTTTGTAACACCGGCGGAGCATGTGGCAGGAGCAGAAATAAACTGGGCTCGCATGTTCTGTTCCTCTGCTGCTCGTTGCGCGGCACTATCGCTGACTCAAAGGTTGCTGTCTCGAGAAATGCTGCGCGTGGATTATCAGATCCTTCGCCTCTCTGGAGCTTCGAATTACGACGGCGGTGATACAGAACACTCTGGTGGCATGTGCTGGTCGACGGGAACTCCGGCTCGCTTGAGGCTCTCGCCCGCTGCTCACCGTGTTATCTGACCTCATGGCAGATGCTTCCGTCTTGAAAAGAACACCGCGCCGTTCATTCAGCCCAGCTTTCTACCGGCATGATTGGCTTCACTCGAGTTGTCGCGGGGGAGATGGCTAGTACATCACCATGTGGGCGCAGGAAGAAAGCGAAGATTGTGCAATCTACCTGTCACAAACCATCAAGTGCGTCGGCCATCGTGATCACGGCAAGACACCTCAGAAGCAGCTCCGCACGAGCTATGCGTAAGTCGTTGCTGTATGCGCGGCACATGTTTTGCCTAGATCCCATGTGCAGCCCCGCGCTAGTATCAAAAGCCTGTGTCAGGGGAACGGAGCACCGGTGTGCGGGAGCAAGCTATAAAAGCCGGACGACCTGCAGACGACTGTTCAGCAGCACTTGCCTCGCACTGTCCACTTCTTCGACTTCGAGACCGTCCGCCTCCCGATGTTCAACAAAAGCGCCCTCCTCCTCGCCGTCTCGCTGGCCCTCTCGGTCTGCGCCGTCCCATCCCCGGCGCCCGAGGGAATCGCCATCCCCATCCGAGCCCGCGACGCGCTGACGACCGCCGATGGCGTGTTCGACCACGACAAGGCCATCGCGGAGACTGTCAAGACGATCAACAAGCACCGCCAGAACCTGATCAACTTGAAGAACAACAAGGGTGAAGGGTCATTCAACCCGGTAGGCTGCTCTTCGGTTTGTCAGCAACTGCATGTGTCTTAACTCGTCCGCAGGGTGCTGAGATCAAGAGCATCGCGACTGTCCCTGCTGCCGTGCAGGCTCGGATGGAGAGCCGCAACGAGAAGCGCCAGAGCTTGACACTCACGGATCAGTCGGAGCAAGAGTGGACTGGCAGTGTATCAATCGGCACGCCCGCGACCCGTTTCGTCATCGACTTTGACAGTAAGTATCAGTGCATCATCGGAAACACATGCTAACTAGATGTAGCTGGATCTTCCGACCTCTGGGTGCCCTCGTCCGCTTGTCGCTCCAGCTGCTCTGGCAAAACCAAGTACAGCCCGAGTGGCTCGTCGACGTCTGCTTCCAAGTCTGGTTCGTTCTCCATCCAGTACGGCGACGGATCGACTGTCTCCGGGCCCATCTACACCGACACTGGTAAGCCCATGTTCTCATCCCCCGATACAATGTTCATAACTTCGTGACTCAGTCTCCGTTGCGGGTGTGTCGGTCACCAAGCAATACCTCGCCGGTGTGACAACCCTCTCCTCGGAGTTCACCACCGATCCCGCCGACGGCCTGCTCGGTCTTGCGTTCCCGGCTATCTCCAACCTCGGCCACAACCCGTATTTCCAGACAGCCATCAGCGAAGGTGCTGTCTCTGCCAACCGGTTCGGCTTCTACCTGGCCAGCTCGGGCTCATCGCTCTACATCGGTGGAACCGACACCCGCAAGTACACCGGCGCCATTGAGTACAACGACATCACCTCGTCGTCCGGATTCTGGCAGGTCACCGGCGCGTCCGTCAAGGTGGGCAGCAGCACTGTTGTGTCGAATTTGCAGACCATTGTGGACTCGGGAACCACCATCATGTACGGCCCGCCCGCGCTCGTCAAGCAGATCTTCGCCCAAGTCCCGGGAGCGAAGTTGTACGATTCCACCAACGGTCCGTCTTTTGCCTTCCCAATTCCCAGACTCTTTCGACGATTCTGATCCCTCTGACTTAGGATACTACTCGTACCCGTGCTCCACTCCCCCCAAGATTTCGATCAACTACGGCGGCAAGGACTGGACGATCTCCTCTGCGAACTTGAACCTCGGCCGCACGTCGTCCGGCTCAAGCTCGTGTGTGTCTTCGCTGGCTGCTCAGGATCTCGGATTGGGATCGCGTGTGTTCCTGCTCGGTGACTCGTTCATGAAGAACCAGTACACCGTGTTTGACGTCGATCGCAATGCAGTTGGATTCGCCTCTCTTTAGACTATCCAACCAACTAGCTAGAAAATATATTCCGCGGACCGGACTTTCATTCCTGGAAACCATGGCCTTAAATTGATTCCCGCTGGTAATTGATAATACGCAACTCGGTGTCATCGTTACCTCCGTCCGTCGCATTGATGACTTATTGTGAGGTGGGAACTTAGGGCTTGTGAGCCGTCCAGCGGGCCATTGATGAATCTGACTCGCTTGGGTGATGTAACCTCTGCACTTCTGCCCCGTATGACGCGATGAGTCGTCCTGTCTCCTGCGATGCCTGATTCTTCGCCGTCGGTTCAACCCACAGTTCACGGACGCCGACTTCCGTTACATCTGACCTATCCAAGAATTGCCAGAAATAGAGATTGTGACCAGCTTGCGGCCAGCAGGTCAGTACCTCGCTGAGAATCGATGTGCCCCCATCCGGCCGAAATTTTACCGCACGAAAACAAGGAACTCGGATTTCTTGGCGCAAACGGCTCATTGAGTATCGAGAGAACTTCAAAGGGGTGGAATCGCCCCGTCCGCTAGCAACGCTAGGCAACGCTCCCTCGTCAAAATGCGTGGCTCGCTCGCTTGGTCTTCGTTGCCTGGGTGATTGGCAATGAATTCGGTTAAGAAGCCGATACCGGCATCGACCACGTGGGACAGCCCAGTAGATGAAGAAGCGCTTTAGGCTTACAATCTTGATTCTCACGCCTACCTGATTACCCCCTTTTGGCCCGGGCCCCTGCACCCGGGACTTTTCGTCTCGTGAGGGTCACCAGCCTTAAGCTTGATCCGCGAAAGTACCGGTTGTACGATGCTGGCTTTAAAAGAACGGTTGTGTGCCTATGCAACAAGACACGTACCCGCCCACTTCCATACATTCTCGATCCCGTTTCGCACACGATGCTGAGCTTTGCTACTTTCGTCATCCTTGCACTTAGCGTGGCGGCGCACCCCTCCGGAACCCAGCCCGCTACGGACGTCACCCCAGCCTCTCCCAGGATCGGCCAGCGCTGTGTTGGGGAGATCACAAGTCTCGCGGACGTCGCCGCAGCGGAGAAGTGCCTGACTATCAACGTGAGTTCGGGACCCTCTCTCATCATCTCTTGTTTACCGGCTGACGCTTGCGCTGACCAGAATCGCACCTTCGTGGTGCCCGCTGGGCAGTCGTTGGACTTGAACCCCGTGGATGGCGCGACTGTGACGATGCAGGGTCCAGTCTCCTTTGCTCATTCGGTGCGTCAAGCGATGGCTTTCTACCTCTCTATCAACATTTCCTCTAAAATGCAATTCAGAACTGGGCTGGTCCTCTCATGGTGTGTTTTGTTCTTCAGAATCGTTGCGGGCAGGGTTGAGTTCACCCTGCCGTCCAGACTATCAGTGGAAATAACATTGTCTGTGCGTGAGATCGTTCACCTGTGATCCTCCGGTGCTGACTTTTTTGCAGTCAACGGACAAGGCTACGAGTTAAACGGCAACGGAGACCAGTATTGGGTATGTCACTACGGCTGTGCTTCGGACTGAGATCTTATTGATTCCGAACAGGACGGGGTACGTCACTGAGACTGACGCGTGTTCTCGAAATAATGCTCCATGAAATAGCTCGGTGGAAACGGAGGCGTGGTGAAGCCCGCCCCAATGCTTCGAGTTCGTATGAGCGGAACCTTTGAAAACGTCAAGGTCTTAAACACACCTATGCGTGCAATCTCCGTCAGTAAGTCGGGATGTCAATCTTCAGTCGGTACCCGTGTCTGATTACGATCCAGACGCGAACAATGTGCTCGTGCGCTCGATCAACATCGACAACTGTAATTGCTTTATCTCGATTCTTGATCGTCGCTGACTCGTACCCCACAGCGGCTGGAGACGTCGCGAACAGCCAATCCAACGGCAAGCCTGCAGGCCACAACACGGACGGTTTTGACGTGTCCGGAAACAATGTGCGAATCGAGAACTCACAGGTTCACAACCAAGGTGTGCTTCAATGATCCCGTCCTTGCTTTGTCCGTGAAATTCACATGCAAATTAGATGACTGCCTGGCGCTGAACCGCGGAACAAACGTTACCTTCACTGGCAACACCTGCTCAGGACAGGGCCACGGGATCTCCATCGTACGTGACATCTTCCGCGACATCTCCTCCAAGCAAACTTGACACTCTACAGGGCTCCATCGGCAACAACACCGTTGTCTCTGACGTCATTCTGAGTGGAAATACCATCACCAACAAGTGAGCCGTGTCCGGGAAATCGCCGGATGATGAGAGAGCTCAATTCTTCGCAGCGGCAACGCCATCCGGATCAAGACCAAGGCGGACGCAAGTGGGTCGAGCGTGTCGAACATCGTCGTTTCGAACAACAAAGCAACCGGAATCACTGGATTCGGCGTCCTGATCGACCAGAGCTACCCCGCCACGCTCGGCACCGCCGGCACGGGGGTCAAGATCAGCGTCAGCCTATACCTGCTTGATCCGAGGCGTGGCTGATTCCTCTCAAAGGGAGTTTCCTTCTCAGGTACCAACACGTTTGCGGTAACGTCCAAGGCCAAGCGCGTCGCTGTCAACTGCGGAAGCACAAGCAGCTGTTCCGGGTACGTCTCGCGCTCTTCGCTGATTGCCTCAGGCCATTGAAATTTCTCCTGCGTAGCACCTGGGACTTCAGTGGACTGACTGTGACCGGGGGCCAAGCCGGATCCATCAAAAACGCGCCTGTCAAAGGCGGCTCTTTTTAAGGGCACCGTCAGCTCGGGTGCATCTCACAATCTTTCCGTATCAATACAAAAAAGTCGAATAATTTTGTAAATCATGATGTATGAACTGTTTCACGGAAACAACGATGGTGCCATGGGATTCTGGCAAGATTGGAATCCTGGTGCCTTTGGGAATGCCTTGAGAGCAGCTGAAGTACGATTTCTCCGGGATGGCTTGTGCTTGGCCGCGGCCTGGAGGCAACTAGATCGCGCTCGTCAAGGTTCCGTGAAGCGTGCAAGTGTTCAACAGACTCTATGCTGAGCTGTGTCGCACTTCCAGGGACTCACGTGTCAAATCACCTGATGCGACCCGCGGCGTCGGGTCGCGCAGTTAGCCCGACCCGACCCCGACCCACTCTCTGACCCGACCTGGGACGACACTTGGGTGGACTGAAACAGGCAGTCTCTGTCGCTGCGCGGAAAATGCAATATCGAAGAAAGAACTGAAGGAAATCCAGGAGGACAATGAAATAGACGACATGCAATGCGTTGACCGAGATCCCGACCCAACCCTCCTGCCCAAACTGCCGCCCAGAGCGTGGGCGGGTGGCCAATATCTCCGATCATGCTTGAAGCTCGAGACAACAACAGCAGAACTGATCGGACGGACTAGCATTCACCGTCCAAGCTAGGGATTTCTATCGGGAATTCATGTCGTGACATCAGAAAAAGCGATTTTTTCATAATGCTTTGTTACAGCAGATTCTAGATCTTCTCATATACTCTATTGTTTCTTCGAGATTCACGGGGAGATAATACCCTGGCCTGGAGGCTCTAATTCGGATGGCATCTGTAAATTCGTCCGTCTCAGCTCAATGATCGGTGCACCGCTTAGCTTTGAACATCTGTATGATGATGGTTCTCCTGTTGATGTGACTCAGCCTCCAGACGCACTCCGAAGAGGACCATTGAACCGTTGCATCCAAGGTGCGCCTGATAATGACTTCAAGAGATGATGCAAACTAGATTGGCCAATACACAGCCTGATTAGAATCTCATTTCTAAAGAGGCCGCCGTAGCCAGGCGGGTTCTATCCGCGAGGGAGGGAAGGCGTGATGCGATCACGTGTTCGAGACCGTCCTGTTACTTACGCGCCTACAAACGCTCCGCTGATCCAAGTGTTCTCTACCGCTGGAAATGAATGATGTACTCGAAAGTCTCAATACTCACAGTAATTAGGCGCGTTGGGATGACGCGATCTTCCACCTTTCCGCAAAGGTCTAGCCTCCGGTCACAGATCAAGGCACGTATATGAGTAAGAAAAGGCCCGGAGCCGTCTGGCTTCTTCCTTTTTGCTGTTAGTCATTTACTCTGTGACTGAACTCCCCAGTTTACTAATTCAAACTACATGTTTATGCAGGCACTGTCAACGGCTCAAGTCATTTGTGCGATCCATGGAGCCTCATTCCTCCTTGGCGCCCTTCTCATATCATGTTCCCACGCTTAAATAAAGAATACCAGAGGCCAAGGTCTCACCGGAGTGACGCAAGAACCACGGTAGATAGATCAAATCACCTGATGAACAAGCACATCACGACATGTAACTTATCATACTCAGGTTGGTGTCGTCATCATGCTTATCAGCTGGTCGTTCCTCCCTCCTTTCATCCGATGCAAGGTAGGAATGCGCATTCATACGTACGCACGCTGGCCGCATGCCGGCAGGAGGTTCTTGCTAGGGCGATATTTAAGACGGCGACGGAGTTCCATGGATTCAGCACCACTACTTCTTTGAATCCCCGATGTCGAACACAATCCAATCTTATGTCGTGACTGGCGCAAACCAAGGTCTGTCGGCCGTGCTTGTCGTGTTTCTTGTTCCTCAGCTGGGGACGCTCCTCGTTTTTCAGGTCTGGGATACCACACTGTGCACCAGATCGCACAGAAACCACACGCCCTGGTGTTTTTAGGCGCACGGCGGATCGCCGCAGCGGAGGAAGCCATCTCCAGCTTTGCGTCCGATATTCACTCCACGTCGGCTGTGGTGCCCGTATACATTGACCTCACAAACGAGAAATCAGTGACGGATGCGGCCGTCTTTGTCGCAGCAGCGCTAAAGGAGCGCGGTCTGTCACGGTTGGATGTCCTTGTCAACAAGTATATACATCTGCAGTGGGAATCTCGCAAGGGCTGATGACAAGGACAGTGCAGGCATTTCCACAGGAACAGACCTGGCTATCTTCGCGACCAACGTGGTCGGCACCCTCGTGGTGAAGAATGCCTTCCGGCCATTGCTCAAATCCGGCAGCCGGATCGTGAACGTATCTTCCACGCTTGGCTCTCAAGCACTTCATGCGGCCCGGCCCCCTATCGCTGTGTATAACTACAAGACCTACGCAGCCAGCAAGGCTGCACTGAACAACTTCATACTCCAGTGGGCGTTCGAGGAGGAGGAAGCGAAGTCGGGAATCGTCGTCATGGCGCTCTGTCCAGGTGAGGATTTTTGTGGCGGTACGGCCAAGGAAATGACTCAGAGATCGTTTCGGATAGGTCTCACCTCGACTGCTGCGACTGGATTCAACGATCACGGTGCTCCGCCGGCAGTGAGCTGCAAGGTCATCGTAGACTCGGCTATAGGATCCCCGAAGAATGGAAGCTTCCTGGATGTAAACGGAGACATCGCACCCTGGTAGTGCGACGAGACATAAAAGATTGTGTATCACGTGATGTTCGAAAACCATACATTGTCGCAATGGGATAGTCAGGTAATAGTGGAGTGGTGTCACTCAAGGATAATGAAAGTGGATGTGGGAAGGAAAGATTAGGGAACAGAGAAATAGAGAGAGAGCTGCAATGCTACGTGCCCGCAGCTTGAACGATTTCCAGTCCGATTTGATTAAGGCTCCAACCATTTTGTTTTTGTTTATGGGTGGCCATAAAATAAACAGAAACAGTATTTAAACATTTATAAACAGTTTAAACCGTTTAAAACAGTTGCTAAACGATTTTTTTTTTGGCACAGAAATTGTATGCTGATGATGTATAAGTAATCTGCAAAGGTAATACGACAGACTACAGTCAGATATAGCCGGCTTTGAGCCACATCTTTGTCAACATTGCCTCCTTGATTGTCGAGGCCTTGAGAGAGCTACGGGTGTCCTGGCACACTTGTCGATGATTTTGGCTGATGGAACACGGATGTGGGCAGGTAGCAAGGAGTGAACAGGAGTAAGAGCAGACATGAGTGGAAACCCGAGAGTGCAGAAAAAGATCGATCCACGACATGTTGGGTCACAATCCTGTCACACATTTTTATTCACATGATGTCTGTGCCTTCATTGTGCAAGATGCTCCCAATACAGGGCCTATATGGTGAATCTCAGGCCAACAATTTCAGTCATAGGGTCTACTTGACAATGTCTCTGTAGAGAAGCTGGTAAATAGATGACAATCAGAGAGGCTGAGAGAACACCAGCCAGGTCGGGCCATGTACTTCATATCTAATCTTGACTACTCTAATCTTAGCATGATTGTCCTGGATGTAACTCTGTTTGTGTGCAATCCACAGGCAATGTCTCGCAGAGTCCATTTCAAGCACAAATTGAAACTGTTTTAACTGTTTATTTACTATATGTTTACTGTTTGAGGACTCCCACAAATTAAACAGAAACAAAAACAGTTATAACTGTTTAAAATATTTATAAACAGAAACAGTTGGAGCCTTAGATTTGATGTTGTTCGATCTGAGCTGAGTCAGCTATGGAGGCCCGGAACTATATGCTGATAAGCGGTCCTGCGTATCAATGATCTGCACAGCCCGCTGATTGGAGATCAAATGTCACGGGTTCGAGACCCCGAGACCCGTATACCTGATCTCATTTGAGTCGAACGTTGAACTTTGTGAGTTAGTAGTAGAGAGGTAGTACGGAGAATTTGTAGATATTGCAAATTACTACCAATCACCTGGTATCTGATCTTCCTCATCCGAAAACCATGCGTACAGTCCATCCCCGCCGTCTTCACCAGATTGCCCCATGCCTAGGTCCGGCTCAATCTGATCAAGCAGAGCATTGAGCCGTGCGTGATGCTCTTGACCTGAGGAGTGAATGAGAAAAATACGGAAAAAACTACTAGATCAACTCACCAAGACCGTCACCCTGATTGACGCCTCCCATATAACATAGCGGCTCAGCGGCACTGCCGTTGACAAGTGCCTGTCCAAGAACTCCATCACCACCTCGAAGCTCCTTGAGATTGGGAAGAAGGGGGATCTTGTCGTCTGCTGCCTCGGTGAGAATGTGGCCCCATTGCTCATCAGCGGTCTGATTAAAACCATGACGCTCGTCGAGCCGCTTGATTTCGTGCAGCAACTGGAGATAAACACCCCAGCATGATTCACGATCAACTGGAGGCTCTCCGAGGTCACGATAGATGTTAGAGATCACAGTATGAAAGTCATAAGGAACCAGAAGAAAAATTTTGTGGTCTGGTGGAGCGTACATCTCGCGAACTTTTTGAACGCCAACCAAGTCAACCTTGATCTAGTAGCGGAACGTAAGCAACTCTCGGGTACAAGAGATGGACACACACTTTAAAATCCAGAATTGCATAATCATCCGGGAATTCAAACATGTGAATTGGTACACCATGTGGAAGAATTTTGTTGCGATCCTTGCGTTTCGCAGTGTTGTTGACTCGTGTGCGATAGAGCTCCAGCTCGGCTTGAAGCCATGGTATAAACACCCAACGAAAAACTAGTCTATAGACCGTCAGGATAATACAACGGTCGAAGAGAGGAAGAAGAACACCCGGGTCATACCAACCCTCTTGGACGCCAGTATCAAGAATATCTTCAAAGCCAGGGGTGAATCGTCGACGCAGCTGACTCCATGTGATCTCCGGCATGACATTTTTCTTCTGGCGCATCCATCGGTGCTGAGATGTACCAACGAGAGACCGATCTTGGTAGTGCCGGAGTTGTGTGTGTCCGTTTGCAATACCAGTGTTCTCTGACCCAGGATCGCTCTGAGTGACAAGTGGCATGACTGCATTGAGGATTTAATTTAAACTGTCCTCTG